CAACATTTAAATGACCATTGCTGAAAATTGTTCTTTACGTCGTATATTCTATCTATATTTGATGCATTGTGATACAGCGTGGTGCGGTCTGTCTCAGGCCCTTGTTCAAACTCTGGAAATACACCAGCGTCTGCTTTTAAAAATCCTGTTTCGCAAAGACCAAACATTCTCCTCCCAACGTCTCTACAGTTTAGCTTCAGTATCTCCCGTTTCAGAGCGACACCAGCAACATCTTTGCATCCTTGTACACATGATCGTATTAGATCTGGTTCCCAAACACTTTGCTAAGCATTACTGGTTTGTGTCCACCAGATCAACACGCAATTCCTTCTCATTACCCTGTGCCAACACCTCCCTGTTTCTGAAATCTCCTATCTTCTCCGCGTACACTCGCTGGTCTGCGCTGCCAACTAGCCCCAAAGCATGCACAGACATTAAAAGGAGTTCAAGCTTCAGCTTCTTCGTCCTAAATAATCTCACCATTTTCGTCATGCATCTCCTTGCAGTACTCTCTTTTGTTTCTCTCCTTATTATTTAGTTCTCCGTGGTTGGCTACCACCCGACTTCTCGTAAATATTGGCAGTCTATTTACGACGAGCCAGGAGATTTATTTATTTATTTACTTCACCTTCCCGTGGCCAGAGAATATAGGCCAATGATATGGAGGGAGGGGGCGGTAGCCAGCCATGGCAGTAAACAAAAACAAAGCAAAAATAAATAAATATTACACATTACTGGAGGCAAAGAGAAACAAATCTGGATGAAGCAGTTATTAGAAGACGAGCTTCATGTTGGCCTTGAAATCCTTTAGCGTACAAGACGATTTTACTGATAGAGGCAGGGCCAGCCAGCGAGAATAGGCAGCGAAAAACGGAGATCTGGTATAAGCTGATGTTCGCGCTTTAGGTAAAGTGCAGGGATTGCGCGTAGGACGAGTGGGAAGAAACCAGTTATATTTACGCAAGTGTGGCGGGGCTTTGTCAAGGCGAATAGAATGAACAACAATACACAGTTTTCGATCCGCTTGACTAGAGATAGGGAAGGTGTTAAACATATCATGCAGCTCGGCAGAAGGAAAGTATGATGGTTTGCGGAAAAGGACTTTGAGTATCCTCTTATTGTGGACTTCCAGGGTACTCATTAACTTAGTAGGGATGACCAGGCGGTTGAGCAATAGAGAAAAATGGGGAGAATATAGCAATGATAAAAAAAGGCGAATGCATTCAAGCGGTAGGTGGGAGCAGTGAGACACGGGTAGCCAACAGCTTTACTGACTTTGCTACAGATATAGTCGACATGTCTACTAAACGATAAGTCTGAGTCAATGACCAAACCAAGATGCTTGTGTTGTTTTACCACTGTGAGTTCTGTGAGGGATCTGGGAAGAGTGAATGCATAGGTTGGCTCTGAGTTCGGCAGGAATAATATCTCAGTCTTGGCGATATTAGGTCTTACTCTTAGTCTCCAGGTAGTCATCCACTGATGGACTTCGTTGATACCGCGCTGGAGACTGTCTCGCAGCCTGTCTAGACACTCATTGAACCGGAGCAGTGTAGTATCGTCAGCAAATAAGGACATACCTTCAACATGACTGGGAAGATCATTAATATACACTAGGAAAAGGAGGGGCCCTAGGATGGATCCCTGGGGCACTCCGGACAGAACAGGTGAAGCATCTGAGAGAAGTCCACCTACAAAGACAACCTTGCGTTCTGTCGGATAGGTAGTCTGTAATCCACTCCAGCGCTGCGCCACGCACACCGAAAACTTTGGAAAGTTTTGCAAGTAATGCACGGTGCCACACGGTGTCGAAAGCTTTCTCGAGGAGATGTTGAATACATGATAAATTATGGTGCAAAAGGAAAAGGACAAAATGTTACGAGTTATGACTAACTGTCCACCAACGTAATCAGATCTTAAACAGTCAGCGAGTGCGACAAAATGGCACAAAACTGACAAGGAATACTGAGACATTCGGCGACCTGACACCTAGCTCCAACACTTCTCTAAGGCGCAAACCAACAATCTTCCAACTTGGAAGGCTCAGGTTCGGAAAGGTCTCAGTATTCCTTGTCAGTTTTGCGCCATTTTGTCGCACTCGCTAACTGTTTAAGATCTGATTACGTTGGTGGACAGTTATTCATACCTCGTAACATTATTTTTGTCCTTCTCCTTTTGCACCATAATATAATTTGCTCGCCATCCGAGTTAAATAATAAATCATAAAAATAATAGGAAGAAGGATATCACACCGTCACGTTCACCTGCTGCCGTGTTTAATGCAGGATGTAGCCCGTTTAGGGTTGTTAAAAAAATTCTCAAAGGTTTCTTGGTCCTCGTCGTAACAAAAAACATCATCGACAAAACAGTAGTACAACGAAGGCCATCGTAGACACATTGGAGCCCTCTAGCTCTGTCTGGTTTTTAAAGCTAGTACATGTATTTGAAGTATAAAATTTCATTCGCACCTCCTTCAAGCATGTCACTTTTCTCTTAGCTCTAGTGCACATGATTACGTTTGCTATTTGCTTCGGCTCAACGTTCATATCGAAGCCGCCATGTACTCTTTGTATGTACATGTATGTATGTTTTTATTTGAATTCGCAAGTACACACGGGCTACAAGCCCAATTATATAGAAGCGAATGTCATAATGAGGTTAATTAAGAAAAAGGGTGGAGGAAGGAGGAGGACAGTAGCAAAGCAAAAGGGAGGACAATTCAGGAGCAAAATTAACAATAATTATTGCACAAATATGAGAGTACCTGAGACCGAGGGTACCTGTGGAGCGATAAAATGCTAAAGCAAACAGAAGAAAGGAAATCACAAGCCAATACACGCTAAACTGCGCTTGGGTTTTAATAAAGGGGGGAAACTGGAGCTCAAGAAAATTGTAACACACCAAGTCATAATAAGAATTTAACTGGATGAATAGTATAAGAAAATATTTCCTGACAACGAGAGGGACTGTAACTACAGCCACGGCAGTAGCTGCTGCAGCAGCAGCAGCAGCAGCAGCAGCAACAACAACTTTCATTGCCTAGCTGAGTGCAACAGATTGCCATAGTCCTATGGCAACGTAGTGCACATGCACTACGTTCAAAGGAGAATTCTAAAAAGCGCCATTTCTCTCAGTACTGCTACGATTCCTGAATTTAACAAAACTGTTGTCTTTCCGTCGCCTGTAAGGGAAGGGAGAGAGAGAGAGAGAGAGAGAGAGAGAGAGAGAGAGAGAGAGAGAGAGAGAGTGAGAGAGTGAGAGAGAGAGAGAGAGAGAGAGAGAGAGAGAGAGAGAGAGAGAGAGAGAGAGAGAGAGGGGAGAGAGAGAGAGAGAGAGAGAGAGAGAGAGAGAGAGAGAGAGAGAGAGAGAGAGAGAGAGAGAGAGAGAGAGAGAGAGAGAGAGAGAGAGAGAGAGAGAGAGAGAGAGAGAGAGAGAGAGAGAGAGAGAGAGAGAGAGAGAGAGAGAGAGAGAGAGAGAGAGAGAGAGAGAGAGAGAGAGAGAGAGAGAGAGAGAGAGAGAGAGAGAGAGAGAGAGAGAGAGAGAGAGAGAGAGAGAAAAACATATCCATCAGTTCTATTAACATGCACAAAGCATAGCGTAGGGCCCTGAGCTTCCAAGCTCTCTCGTTTAAAAAGGATTCTCCAAAGGCTGTTCGCCTGTCGAGGGGGTTTCCTGTTTTCTCTCTGGTTAGGAGAGGGAGGAAGAAGAAAAGAAGAGAAAAGCAGAACAACATAAAGAGATCCTTCCCACGGTTCAGTGTAGTGCATTTTGTCGCTGGGTTTCTGATTGAAAGGACTCCAGTGGCAAGATGCATTGCATCGAATCGAGAGGGGGTGGGGGCATGCCAATGCAGGGTGCACCGTAGGTACGGTAAAAGTGAACCCAGTTAATAATGAATATCATCCCGCGCGGGATTGTATTGGCTATTATTTCCCGGTCAGCAAGGCTCCTGATTGGCTGACACAGGCCTATAGTACCGTACCATGGGATAATAATTATGAGTTGGGTCGTACCAAGAGTACATAACCCCGGGGGGTTATGTACTCTTGGTCGTACCGATCGTTCCCTTCCGAGTTCCAACATACTTGTGCTGGTAGCTGTACTGTGAGATTCATTTGATTACCTCATGAGTCATTGAGTCATGTTAGACTTAGAGGGCTTGCTCCTTCGGTGCCAATCGGTAGTTGACAGTCTAACTTGACAGTCAGGCATTCTGAGTTTCTTGTAGCGTTACAGCGTTTATTTTGATTCGGACAGTCGAAATCGAAATCGAAATCGAAAGTGAACGCATGGGTTCTGATTGCTGAGCGCCTGAAAACAAAGTCCGGTCGGCGTATTGAGTTCCATCTCTCGATTGACAGCTGTGGCGCCAGCTTGAGGAGCGGTGACAGCTCGAGCAGTGCGAGGTCCATATTCTGTTTTAGTGTCATCTACAAACTGTCAGTAACTGAGTGGGCTTTGAAGGCAAACCTAGGCTACAGCCTACAGGAAAACTACAGTCAGTACAGGGAAAAGAAAGTCTTACTGGATGGAGTACACAAGTAGAGACGGAGCTCTGAAAGTAGTCAGTGCATCTTCACCTTGCACCAACGTAGAACTACGTCACAGTACGTGACTGGCTCCATGTAGTCAACAATTATGGACGTCCCACGTCAGACGATCGTCAAGGGGTCTAGGTGCACTCCTATCGAGGTAGCGCGCGGAAGACGATGCTGTCAAAAGGTGTACCTTAATTACAATGTAGGTGTTGTGTTACTTGCCGCACAAGTCATTGGACGCATGCATATACACTGTACTACCTCCCCGGCCCCGTGGTTCTGAGGGCAGATGCCATCATGGTCAGCACCTGGTTCTTGGCAGTGTTCAGGATGAGACCTCGTGACCCGAGCCTAGCCTAGCGTCTGTCCGCCCGGCCAGTAGCACGAGCCGGAGTGCAGAGGGTGAAAGACGCTTCCGCGACAGATGTCTGGGAATCGTATAAAGCGTGTCGTCCGCAAGTAACATAATTCATTAGTTGTAGTGGGCCAGGCAGAGGTGAGCTGCTTAGGGGAACATCACTGCTGTACAGGCTAAAAAGTGAAGAATGCCTCGTGCAGGGGGAGGACGTTCTAGCGGTGGTGGAGGTGGTAGTCGTTCTTCTGGCGGAGGAGGAGGTTCTGTCAGCGTCAGTGGCTACACACGTTCAAATGGTACGTACGTGAGTGGGTACACCCGTGCAGCACCGTCGAGTTCTTCATCCTCATCCTCAACCGGTGGTGGTGGCGGAGGAGGATCAAGCAGTGCTGCAGCATCCGCGTCATACGCCTCGAGTTCAAGTGGCCATGGCGGAGGGGGAGGAGGAGGCTCTGTCAATGTCAGTGGCTATACGCGTTCAAATGGTACGTACGTGAGTGGATATACTCGCGCAGCTCCGTCTAACTCTTCAAGTGCAACCTCTGGTGCAGATCATGGCGTTGTACACGTGAAAGAACACACTCGTTCCAATGGAACTGTAGTCGCTGCCCATACACGCTCTAAGCCCGCTGCATCCAGATCCGCAGCTGCTTCGGGTGCAAATGATGTTGTACACGTGAAAGAACACACTCGTTCTGATGGAACTGTAGTCGCTGCCCATACACGCTCAAGGCCTACGCGAAATTTGACTGAAGGCATGGCAGAGGCACTTCCCTCTGTAGACATTAAGCAAGGTCCAGCGTTTCCCGGTGATAATAGAAAGCGCACACACTTCGTGGACAATCCTGTTAACCGGCGCAAGGGTCGTGTGGGTTTGCCTATTCCAAGCAAACGTCATACGGAACAAAGCCGTCAGGGGCTTCCCCCCGATGCCACCAGCAGTGAGCGACAACATGAGCGCATCAAGGATGCACTGTATCGAACCACTGTTGAAGAAATTCGACTTATGTTGACTGAATGTGCGGAATCGATCCTTGATCGCCAGGCAACTTGGGAAGAGAATAACGCCATTCAAACGGCATTGCATCATCACCAGCGAGCTGAAGTTGAAGAGGAATGGTCTGAGCAAGGCGTTCCAGGATGGACTGATCTCCAACGCATCAGAGCAGGTAAAGTGCTGTTGTGTTCAGAAACAATGATCCATGGCTGTGCTACTGAGAGTGAGTGGGTTAATGTATACTATACGAAAGTGTACTCTGCATTGTCCTACTAATATTGCGCTCTGCAGCATTCGTACAAGTAATCCCTTATCATCGCAATCTCACTACCACCACCACCAACATACTCTAAGATGCTGTAAACCACCTACACGATCTTGAGTTCTGCCCCTGGGATTAGACAGGGAGTAGTGTCGATATTGGACCGCAGTGTTGGTGTTCGTGGTGGTGGTGGTGGTGGTGGTGGTGGTGGTGGTGGTGGTGGTGGTGGTGGTGGTGGTGGTGGTGGTGGTGGTGGTGGTGGTGGTGGTGGTGGTGGTGGTGGTGGTGGTGGTGGTGGTGGTGGTGGTGGTGGTGGTGGTGGTGGTGGTGGTGGTGGTGGTGGTGGTGGTGGTGGTGGTGGTGGTGGTGGTGGTGGTGGTGGTGGTGGTGGTGGTGGTGGTGGTGGTGGTGGTGGTGGTGGTGGTGGTGGTGGTGGTGGTGGTGGTGGTGGTGGTGGTGGTGGTGGTGGTGGTGGTGGTGGTGGTGGTGGTGGTGGTGGTGGTGGTGGTGGTGGTGGTGGTGGTGGTGGTGGTGGTGGTGGTGGTGGTGGTGGTGGTGGTGGTGGTGGTGGTGGTGGTGGTGGTGGTGGTGGTGGTGGTGGTGGTGGTGGTGGTGGTGGTGGTGGTGGTGGTGGTGGTGGTGGTGGTGGTGGTGGTGGTGGTGGTGGTGGTGGTGGTGGTGGTGGTGGTGGTGGTGGTGGTGGTGGTGGTGGTGGTGGTGGTGGTGGTGGTGGTGGTGGTGGTGGTGGTGGTGGTGGTGGTGGTGGTGGTGGTGGTGGTGGTGGTGGTGGTGGTGGTGGTGGTGGTGGTGGTGGTGGTGGTGGTGGTGGTGGTGGTGGTGGTGGTGGTGGTGGTGGTGGTGGTGGTGGTGGTGGTGGTGGTGGTGGTGGTGGTGGTGGTGGTGGTGGTGGTGGTGGTGGTGGTGGTGGTGGTGGTGGTGGTGGTGGTGGTGGTGGTGGTGGTGGTGGTGGTGGTGGTGGTGGTGGTGGTGGTGGTGGTGGTGGTGGTGGTGGTGGTGGTGGTGGTGGTGGTGGTGGTGGTGGTGGTGGTGGTGGTGGTGGTGGTGGTGGTGGTGGTGGTGGTGGTGGTGGTGGTGGTGGTGGTGATCATCGTCGTCGTCGTCGTGATGGTGGTTGTGCTGAACTTGTGGGATTATGACTCCTTGCTTCCATGCACCGAAGAAAGTCCCACAGTAGATCACATGCTGCGTATCTCATTTTAAAGATACGCATCATGTGATCTACTGTGGGACTTTCTTCAGTAAAATCTCTTTTAATAATAATACTCCATGGTGTTAGGAGTCATAAGGATCATGTACTCGCGATGGTACTGCTTTCCTTGTCAATGGCATCATGACGGCAAGAGTACCTAACCCAGGGTTGACTCAATATCCGGACAGATACTTATAGCTATTTCCACCTTGTTAGATCTCGTTAGTGGAGCTCAGAGCTACTAGCCACACCAATGGCACTCTTGGTGGTGCTGATATCGTTGTCAATGTGCCACTGTCTTCTCACTCACTGAGTCAGTGTGCTATGTCACGGCGGGTACATGTAGTGTCGGTCAGTCTCCATCATGCATGCCAGTTCACTACCACAGTCAGGCACTCACTGGTCAATGCTGTTGCATTGAGACTTGCTTCTACTTTCATCATCATCATGTATTGCTGTACTCTGTGTGTATGTTCTGTTCAGGACGACCAGGAGACACTCTAGTTATTCAGCAGGATGAAATAACACTGGAAAAAGCAATTGGACGTGGTGGTTTCGGAGAGGTATTCGCTGCACGATACAAGGGAACGGTTGTTGCTGTCAAGCGCTTGCACCTTCAGTCATGGTCTCGGAGCAGACTGGACACATTCAAGCGAGAGCTGCAAGTTCTTTCCCAAGTCCAGCATCAGCATGTTGTGGCAGTACTTGGTGTAGTACTAGAGCCACCGCAGTTCAGCATTGTTATGGAGTATCTGAGTCGCAGTTTGTTCACAGCGCTGTTTATCCACGAAGAACAGTTCTCCGGTGACAAGCAAAAGATGATAGTGCTGGAGGTCTGCGCTGCACTGGAGCACCTGCATAAGGAAGGGATCGCACACTGTGATATGAAAGTGGAAAATGTGCTGCTAGATGCAACTGACCATGCCAAGATCTGTGATTTTGGCCTGAGCTTCATCAGGTCCACTACGGAGGTGTCAAGCAGCCGCTTGGACTCAGCAACTGCCCCTCCTGGACAGGGCACACCACGCTACTCGGCTCCAGAAGTGCTACGCGGTGAGAGACTGGTGCTGAAGCAATTGTTCGCTACTGATGTCTACTCACTGGCCCTAGTTGTCTATGAAGTTGTTGTGCGCAAGGAGGTATTCATAGACTACACGCTACGTCAACTGGAGAAAAATGTTGGTGATGGAGAGGATCGTCCTGAAATCTCAGCTCCTCCTCGCATTCTTGCAGACACCATCCAGCAGTTGTGGGTCAAGGATCCATCCAGACGCCCTACTATGGCACGTGTCTGTGAGCTGTTCAGTGCAATCGATAGCTGCCACTGGGCACCGCTGAATGCATCCGGATAGTAAGATGTGCGACCACTATGGCGCCATGCTTGCTTTTCCAGCCTCTTTTATAATAGTATGACTTATGTACGTGTAAATCCATCGCACAGAGCCACTCTTAGTCTCAGGTATCACAATTCTCTCTACCCGCTAATAAAATTACATTGTATGCTCTCCCTGTCTCTGCATGGGCAGACCGTCATCTCCCTGGCGGTGCCAAGACTTCCTTGTCCCATCTTCCCTGTTTGATGCTATGATAATCACTGCAGTCTCGTCTTCCTTTTTTGTGCCATAATATCCCTATTCCCGTTGGCTCCCATGATCTATGCTGCCAAGATGTCCCTATGTCAAGGGCTCCCATGAACTATGCCATGATGTGCCTATGACCTCTCCCATGATTTGTGCCATGTTTCCGCTCGCACGATTTGTGCCATGAATCATGATGCCCCTGTTTTCTCTCCCACGATTTGTGGCATTTTTCCCGCTCCCTATCATAGTTACATAATATTATTAGTGTCTTTCTGCAATGCCGATCTCTCTGTTCCGTCTCACATGACCGATGCCACGATGTCCCTGTCCCGGCTGTCCGCGCTCTCATGTACATGTACATGATTTGATATAATCCAAAACTGGTAAACCAGTATTAGATAAACCTTGTTGTAGTTCACGCAATTGTTAGATTGACAGCATGAAACAAGGAGGAAGACACTGTGTTCGAAAACAGTGACCTTACTACAACCTTCCGCGGTTGGCAGAGCCCCAGTGAGTCGGTGACCCGGTCCCTGCGGACCATTTGAACCATATGGGTATATCGCACCCGGTTCTGACCCTCGTTATGCTAGGGGGTTAGGAGACTACTCCTGATGTCGTCTTGTTGTCTTCGCTCTTTTTTAACTTGTATAAGAACTCGGGAGAATGAAATTGAAGACATCACTGCAGCTGTACTTATGGTTGATAAATATGGTGGTAAAGACACACCTGGCAATATGGCGGTAAACACACGCCTGCCCACACACGCTCTCTAGGCTGCAAAGTTCTGGCACAGAGCTCTCCTTCTCACCACCACCACCATCAGTTCGCGCCTGGCGCCTTGTCGATGCATGGCTGGCGGTATCCGGCATAGCAGGCTGGTACATCAAGTAGCGCATGGCACATAGATGATGACACAGCAACGACATAGCTCGATTGCGACGTACGTTTCGTCCCCGCTGGACTCATCAGGCAATCTTCTTCTTGGATGTCTTCATACGGAGCTTGACTCGGGAGAATGAAATTGAAGACACCACTGCAGCTGTACTTATGGTTGATAAATATGGTGGTAAAGACACACCTGGCAATATGGCGGTAACCACACGCCTGCCCACACACGCTCTCTAGGCTGCAAAGTTCTGGCACAGAGCTCTCCTTCTCACCACCACCACCACCATCAGTTCGCGCCTGGCGCCTGGTCGATGCATGGCTGGCGGTATCCGGCATAGCAGGCTGGTACATCAAGTAGCGCATGGCACATAGATGATGACACAGCAACGACATACCGGTAGCTCGATTGCGACGTACGTTTCGTCCCCGCTGTGTTTACCGCCATATTGCCAGGTGTGTCTTTACCACCATATGTATAAGAACTTCTTTTTCTTTCCAACTTCTGCCCATTGTTTCATGCTGTCAATCAAACAATTGCACGTACATGATTGTATAAGTAGTCGCTCCGCCGTGACCGAAGGGCATTGTTCGCCCCTCTGAATGAATTACGCTATAGAATACATGTACGTAGTCTTGTTCAGAAGGAGTCTGATTAAAAATTTAAAAAAAATGAAAGCACACTCATGATTGGAGAGACTGAATCAGGGAGTCGTACCCAACCAAAAAATTGGTTTAGGTGCGACTCCCTGGAGAGAATGCATGCCGCTTCGCCGAGCACACTCCGCTACAGCTAGGGGTTGCACACCTACTCATCACGACAGTGGCTGGCTCCGGGAATCCATATGCCACATTTCTGGAGAATTATGTACAATGTCATGTACATGTAACAGTTACATATGTACATGACATTATTAACTTTAATAGTACTGCTGTTCGAGTGTTGGTAGATCAACTGCGCAAGACATTTTTGTTGTCATGACTGTAGTAGTTTCCGTGCATGGCTCGTGACGTGAGCCAAGTGCCGACGGCGGGAAGAAACGTGTGCACGGCGACCTGGCGTCGGCTGTCCTGATCTAGGTGAACATGGTGAATGTGGCAGTGCAGTGCAGTAGCAGTAGTAGCCAGCATGATCATTATGACCAAGGAGTCATACATTTTATAAACCCGTGTGGGTACGACTCCCTGATTATGGCATGCTTCCAGCTGTCGACGGCTAGCGGTACAGCGGCTAGCGTTTGGGTATGGGCCAAGCACAAAATGATGTGACAAAAGTGGACGTGGCACACATTTATTGCTGTAAAAATGGGCGCGAAGCTCTGCGTGTTTCTCACGCGCGCTGGATGACAGGCGACATCAGATAGACGTTCGTAGCTGTCAAATTTGTTCGAACCGTACTCCAGAGTATAGATGTCTCAGTGCCATTCACTGCCAGATGGCTCATTATCATCTCTCTGAGCGTCTCCAAGCGGTTTGCGTAGATCCACGTGCCTGTGCTTTGTTCTCAGTCGTGACTCGCAGCCCCGGCCGCTGCCACAGTGCCAGCAAGCCAACTGGAGCCGACGACGGTCGGTCTGTAGTGCTAATGGATTTGAAACACGATCAGCACATGCGAGCAAAGGGACAGAGGGTATGCCCCCAGATATCTGAACAACGAAACTTCGGATTGCCAAGTATTGCCAAGTGGATTCTCGCAAGAAGAAGAAGAACACACAGGTGCGTATTGTTTTGTAAAGGCTTGAAGCTAGTTGCGGCAGCTTGTCGATGGACTAACGGCATAATGGCACTTCATGCAGATTCTCCGCCGCAGTAGTCTCTGGTCCTGACCGCTAACTGAGCAGCTTTGTGAACAAATACTGGCAAATTTGCCAAAAGACTTCACTGAAACACACTGCGACTGAGAGAATTTGAGCTTCCGTTTGCTGCTCTGGATCTGACCTGATGGTACACGGATACTCGGCGGTAGCTGATGCAGTGAAGAGCGAGGAGTAATTAATATTTAGGGAGCAGAATACCAGTGTCGCATTCAAGATGTCTGTGCTCTTTGGAGCATGCATGCGTGGAGACGCAAGAGATATGGGTAGGTACAACAAGTATGATGATTATTGATTGTACAATGTACGTGTACAGTGGTGTATTTGTACATGCGCTACATCTTGTAGTGGGTCAGATGCCGGTAATAAAGGGTGTTAAAGGGGAAGTTAAGGCAAAAATTAAAATTTCACCAGTTGTAGTCTTCGGGGTGCTGAGTCGAATGGTCTTGGTCCGAGGAAGCTGAGACGCTTCCTTCCTACTTGAATCCCAATCGAACTCGCGCACTTCCACCGAAACTGGGTGACTGCGCCCTACTAGATGGGGATTTGTATGCAAAATGTCACTAAAAGCGCCATTTCGTTCTTATAAAAGCACGGATGACCGCGATTGGCCCATATGTTGTAGTCTTTTGGACGCTGAGTCGACTGGTTTTGGTCCGAAAAGGCTGCGATGCAGCGTTCCTCCTTTATTCCCAATCGAACATGGTTGAAGAAGCGGTCACGTGCTCCTGGGTGCCCAAATCAGCTGGTCACCACGCCAGCAGGCGACAACTTTCACACCAAGGTTCAACTCGAGGTCAACTCGAGTGACAGGACTGCACCCAAAAAAGGTCAAACAGGCTAGTAAGTTGTACCCTGCAGGCACGGTGACCAGCTGACTGGTGTACGCAGCAGCACGTGACCACTTGTTCGACCATGTTCGATTGGGAATAAAGGAGGAACGCTGCTTCGCAGCCTTTTCGGACCAAAACCAGTCGACTCAGCGTCCAAAAGACTACTACATATGGGCCAATCGCGGTCATCCGTGCTTTTATAAGAACGAAATGGCGCTTTTAGTGACATTTTGCATACAAATCCCCATCTAGTAGGGCGCAGTCACCCAGTTTCGGTGGAAGTGCGCGAGTTCGATTGGGATTCAAGTAGGAAGGAAGCGTCTCAGCTTCCTCGGACCAAGACCATTCGACTCAGCACCCCGAAGACTACAACTGGTGAAATTTTAATTTTTGCCTTAACTTCCCCTTTAAATAGACGGTCCATATCATAGGTCTACCCTTCTATGGCCCATATATGGGCCATAGACGGGTAGATATACTGGGTAGGACAATGGACTCAGTAGCCAGTCCTGGTAACAGCCTGTACTGCTGTAAATGTGTAATGCAGTGAGTCATCAGCTGGTTTGCAATTACCCTTATGGACTCAAACATGAGTCTGTCCAATATTGTGGCAATTATGACTAGTCTCTGATCTACAAGTCACAAGTCACATGTCAGAAGACAGCTAATGAGTAATGTTACTAGTAACTAGGTACAGAGGCTCCCTATCATTCACAATGATGCTTTTATGTTGTGGAAATGCAGATGCTGCCTTTCAGTCTGATAGACAAGACAATACTGATGAATACGTGTGTGTGTGTGTGCATTTTTGAGTCGCTATGAGTCTTATAGTCATTGTAAATCTACGTGATGTACATGTCCAGGCATACATACATGTACATTGGACAATCATGTACATTAGTAGATCTATAGTCATTGTGGATCTTTACAGCCCGATAATGTAGATCTACACGATGTCCATAGTGAACTGTATTCTTAGCGTTCCGCCAGGCATTGCCAGATTTAAAATCAAAATACTAGTAGATGACTGATGCAAGCCAAAAGGGGCTAGCTAGGCTGTGGCTACATTAGACACTTGGTGGAACACAGCCGCAGGACAGCCGCAGGACAGCACATGATATCTATGGTGTACATGTACAGTAGGTAGTATTTTCATTTCTTTCAGTTGCTAGCGCATGGCATGTTGCCAATGGCACAGGCTGAGTACTGGTCTATCGCTCATGAGTCATGACTGTGCTGTGCAGTGCTGTGCAGTGCAGTGCAGTGCTGTGCAGTGCAGTGCTGTGCAGTGCTGTGCAGTGCAGTGCAGTGCAGTGCAGTGCAGTGTGCACAATCAACTGCAGCCATGGTACATACATGTACCTGCATATGCGTGTCAAGCATGGATTATGATGTCATCCACTGTAGATGTGTGCGTGTCGAGTGTGGATGATGATGTCATCAAGATACCCTCAAAGATAATAGCCAGGGTCTTCACAATACCACGCATGACCATACTGTACCACAGACCGTCTGTAATGCACTAGTCTAGAGTAGAGTGTGGTGATCATGCTAGTCTCATGACCCCTGCACTAACCCTATGTACACAGTACAGCAGGGAGTACTGGTTTTTTAGTACTCCCTGCTGTAGTGTGTAGTCTATCATATGCATCTCTAGCTCTCCAGGCATTACAGGTGGATATTAGGGGTCGTCGCAAAAGTTCTTTGTAGACCCTGAAACGAGCACTGTTCCGAAGTTTTGGGGAAGGGGTGGGAGCCGAAATCCTGTACATGTACATGTGTGTGATTTCCATCATCTAGCATAGCAACATCATCTAGCATAGCAACATCATCTAGCATAGCAACATCATCTAGCATAGCAACATCATCTAGCATAGCAACATCATCTAGCATAGCAACTTGAACTGCGTTCACTTCGTGTGTGCGGGGGGGGGGGGGGAATGAAAGGAGCGATGTTCGTTTCAGGGACAAGAAGAAACCCGTATTTGTGATGACCCATAGAAGTAACAACAGCTGTAGATAATGAGTCGCCGACACGTTTCAGAGCCTCCCAAGCCAGGACCAACTGACTGACGATAACAATGTGTTTGATGAGTTTATCCCGACTTGGACTCGTTATGACCTCGTTGCGGACTGTACGAGTTGCTAACCCTCTCTATTGCCATACCCTACTCCTAGCCTCACAGGTGATCATTTCACTCACGGTACACGTATCCACTGATGTAGATATGCTGTTTGGATATTTCAGAATGCTGTTCTATTCTCTGTTGCTGTCACAGTGCCTGTGCCAGGGATGATGAAGACAAGACGACATGGTGGCAGTACGGACTGGCCAGTGGTCTGGTCGCCCAGGTCATCTCTATCAGACGAGTCTGGAATTGAAATGGAAGATGGAGGATCAGCCGGGGCCGCGGCGGTGGGCAGCACATTGGATAGACAAGTTGCGGCAGCCAGGCTGCAGGCAGTATCGCAGTGGATAGGCCACTCTGCTCATGGCACTCAGCAGTGGATAGGCCACTCTGCTCAAGGCACTGAGCAGTCAGTTGCAGCAGAAATACACCTTCAACAACCTCTGGGTTGTTCGGGGACTCATGGTGACTACAGATCCCCTACACGTGACGCAGAATGCAGAGCACACACCAGTGTGAGTGTGGACGCTAGCCCAGCAATTGTCAGGAATACGGACATGAGTCTACGGCCTCAGCACCAGTATAAGGCATCCATATCTGAAAGCAGTGGCACTTCTGAAGACTCATGTGTGAGGTCGTGTCCAAGCAATGAAGATATAAGGCTAGATGACTCTCAGTCTCTCAGTCCGGATGGGAGCCGAGCAAGTCTGCTGGATCAACGGCCAACACCAATCTTGCCAGGCAAGAAGCAATCACCGAACAGCATCATCAGCGCAGCTTCTCACTCTATGCTGAATGAGCAGCTGTCGCCATGTGACATGCCTCACCGGCAGTATAATCATACCGTTGTGAAGGACTTCAGCGCCGGCGGTGGCAGTGGCAGTGAGAAGGGCATGACAGTGAACACAATCGATGTCCTCAAGGGTGAGCTGGTCAATGTGGTCCACATCGACAATGGCTGGGCATATGTGATCACAATGGATCATTACTGTGGCTATGTGCCAGCCAGTTACCTAGCTAAGTGTACACCAGCAGCGGCAGTGCTGCCAGTCAGTGGCGCCCAGAATGGCCACAGCAGCGGCAGTGGTGCCGATGGCAGTGCAACGCCCACAGCCCAGGACAGTACACAGTGTCAACACCGCCATCGGTTACAACTAGTAAGGACTGGTGGCAGTAGCACCCACACACCTGAACACCGCACTGCTGCCCAAACCCCTACTAATGTTAGCAACAGGGCCGTGCAGAATGACATTGTGCTGGCTGGGCCAGGTGGTAATCAAGTCCACGCAAGGATGACATCGCCAACTCAATCACAGGTCTCTTCAGCAACAGTGAAAGCGCAGGAGCCGAACACCACCACAGCTTCAACTGGCCAGCGTAATGATGATGATGATGATGATAATGAGGTACAGAACGTGGATGATCCCGACGGTTTCTGGTCATCCAACCCGAACGCCAACCAAGGGACATTACGAAAGTACATGAGACGACGGCGACGAACTCGAAGCACTGAATTGAATAATCAGTCAAGAAACAAGGCCCAGACGATGGTGAATGTACCATCAGAAACTCTGCAGAGACCAACGGCAAACCAGAATTCGCATCAGCATAGAGGGAACAATTCCTTTTCCCACTGTGCAAAGGATACGGCTAGCAACCAGGAAAATAGAACGGCTCCACTGGCACACACAGGCCCGGCTCCATTGTCTCACAAGGACACCATCCAGCTGCAAGCTCCGGCAGCGGCAGCAACTGACTTCTGGTATGCTGACGGCCAGATGCTGTCTACTCCGATGGAGCCATTCCAAACCTGCCGAGGTGAAGAAGTGGTGTGCCTTTACGACTTTGTTGCCATGGATGAGAATGACCTTTCCATGGTAGCTGGTGAGCAACTGGTTATTCTGAATCAGACTGACAGTGACTGGATGTGGGTGAGCAACGCTCGCAATCAACAAGGATTTGTGCCCGCCGCTTATGTTCAACACGTGGCAGAGGATTCAAGAGCTTTCACAACCACGGGTAAGTCAGTGTAGCGTTTTATCACTCTCTTACCATTGACCGCCACAGGAACCGTCTTGTGATCTCTAAGCCGTCAAATATCAGCATAATAATTATATTGACCGCTTATATTGACCGCTTAGCCCGATGACTTTTCCTCAACTTAGAAAAAAATCAGAAATGAAAGAAGAAAAATCTGAAGCCAAATGCTGAGACTAAAAGCTCCACAGTAATAGCCAAGAGGAAACGTGCCAGGTCTGAGGAGTGTACACGATCACAGCTTCGTCATTGCCAGCCACTGACCAGGCCCGCCGCACCGACTTTGGAGGTGGGGCGGCCATGGAAGGGGGGGGGGGGGCGGCCCCGGGAAAAATTCAAAAATTGAAGCCAATTGCAAGCATTTCCGGGCATTTGGTGCCATTTCAGTGTAACTACAATGAAAGACTTTTTGATTCTGTAACAAGCCAAGAAGACGCTACGATCGGGGACAAGAATTCTTCAATATCCTCTCCTGGGGAAAAAATCAAAAATTGAAGCCAATTGCAAGCATTTTCAGGTATTTGGTGCCATTTCAGTGTAACTAGTGCAATGAAAGACTTTTTTGATTCTGCAATAAACCACGGCCGGGGACAAGGATTCTTCATTATTTGCCATGTTTGGGCTGAGCTGCAATCTTCGCGCTTAGTTGCAATGTGCTCCAAAAAACAAAACAAAAAACGACCGAAAAAGTGGGGCAGCCTCAGCCGCCCCGGCTGTGACGGCCTTGCTGGCTATGTAGCTACTCTGCCAGTGTTGTTGTATGTAAGTTGGGTTATAAAACTTATAATTAGGCCACCCAGAATTAATTCGTTGTTTCGGGTCACCCGACCGACCGTCTTTTTTCACCCGACCGCAATTTTTTTTATAGTGCATGCAAATGCCCATGACTAGATTATGTACGTACATATGTACACACGTGCCCAATAATAGCAGTCCAGACATCGACCTCAGAAGCAGCCAAATAAAATAACAGGATGAAGCGCTTGGTGACGATGTTGTCTTCCGATCCGCAATCGGTCCTGAAACAGCATCAGCTCCGCCACCGCGTCGCTCTTTGACAGACGTTTCAAGGTGAGAACTGCTCCTCAGACTCGTTTGCGAGCGAGGCCAAGGTCTGGTCCTGGAGGGGACCTGGGTCTGATGGGACAATGACTGTGCTGGATCGTCTACAGTCATGATTTGATCGACTGGCTTGATGGACAAAAGCTATTCGATATGCACTATTGTACATGTATGCACAATCATATACATGGCAATAACCAAAATAAAATAAAAAATAAACCCGACCGACCGACCCTGGTACGGATGAGTGAAGTGACCCGAATAATAATACCAAGTAATAATAATAATCTTCACTAGTTTGAGGGAAAGAGACGAACGGGAAAAGTCTGAAGAAAAAAAAAAATAATAATAATTTGAAACTCGGATGTTGAGCCATAAATAAATGTGGAAAGGAAAGGGACATAATTATGGATACGAGTTAAGAGTAACTCTCCATCACTGTAACTGGATACTATATACAGTCAGAAAGTGCAATAACTAGACACAAAACTGACAAGAGTACTGAGACAAATATCGTACTGGTCTCGTCATCGTCCAGTAACAATCGACATTCTTTGTTTCGCTGGGACTATAGCTTTTGCTTGTTTTCGTTGCGCTTGCCTTCCCCTCTTTGGTATTTCCATAACCTTGAACCTTCCAAGTTGGAAGGCTGTCGGTTAGCGCTACGGAGATGTGTTGAAGCTAGGTGTCAGGACGTCGAATATCTCAGTACTCTTGTCAGTTTTGTGCCTAGTTATTGCACTTTCTGACTGTATAATCCAGTTACAGTGATGGAGAGTTACTCTTAACTCATATCCATAATTATGTCCTTTTCCTTTCCACAATAATAATAATAATAATAATAATAATAATAATAATAATTTGAAACTCGGATGTTGAGCCATAAATAAATGTAGAAGAGAAAAGGACATATGGATACGAGTTAAGAGTAACTCTCCATCACTGTAACATGATACTATATACAGTCAGAAAGTGCAATAACTAGCTAGGCACAAAACTGACAGAGTACTGAAACATTCGACGTCCTGACACCTAGCTTCAACACATCTCCGTAGCGCTAACCGACAGCCTTCCAACTTGGAAGGTTCAAGGTTATGGAAAGACCAAAGAGGGGAAGGCAAGCGCAACGAAAACGAGCAAAAGCTACAGTCCCAACGGAACAAAGAATGTCGATTGTTACTTGACGATGACGAGACCAGTACGATATTTGCCAAAGCGGTCTAACTACAATTCGAAGCAGCAAAGCAGCACACCACCCAACTTGGGTGGGTCATAAATATCAAAGATAAGTAAAGAAAGGGAAGCTTTGCGAAAACGAATTGTACAAGCCGAAAGCCAAACTCCTACAGTACTCCTCATGCATGACATTGTGATGGACTAGTTGACTACAAAACAAGTTGTTTCACACGACGTACGTTTCGCCGTATGGTTCGTGACGGCTCATCAGGTGTGCAATTTGAAACTCGGATGTTGAGCCATAAATAAATGTAGAAGAGAAAAGGACATATGGATACGAGTTAAGAGTAACTCTCCATCACTGTAACATGATACTATATACAGTCAGAAAGTGCAATAACTAGCTAGGCACAAAACTGACAGAGTACTGAAACATTCGACGTCCTGACACTTGTAGTTAGACCGCTTTGGCAAATATCGTACTGGTCTCGTCATCGTCAAGTAACAATCGACATTCTTTGTTCCGTTGGGACTGTAGCTTTTGCTCGTTTTCGTTGCGCTTGCCTTCCCCTCTTTGGTCTTTCCATAACCTTGAACCTTCCAAGTTGGAAGGCTGTCGGTTAGCGCTACGGAGATGTGTTGAAGCTAGGTGTCAGGACGTCGAATGTTTCAGTACTCTGTCAGTTTTGTGCCTAGCTAGTTATTGCATTTTCTGACTGTATATAGTATCATGTTACAGTGATGGAGAGTTACTCTTAACTCGTATCCATATGTCCTTTTCTCTTCTACATTTATTTATGGCTCAACATCCGAGTTTCAAATTGCACACCTGATGAGCCGTCACGAACCATACGGCGAAACGTACGTCGTGTGAAACAACTTGTTTTGTAGTCAACTAGTCCATCACAACGTCATGCATGAGGAGTACTGTAGGAGTTTGGCTTTCGGCTTGTACAATTCGTTTTCGCAAAGCTTCCCTTTCTTTACTTATCTTTGATATTTATGACCCACCCAAGTTGGGTGGTGTGCTGCTTTGCTGCTTCGAATTGTAGTTAGACCGCTTTGGCAAATATCGTACTGGTCTCGTCATCGTCAAGTAACAATCGACATTCTTTGTTCCGTTGGGACTGTAGCTTTTGCTCGTTTTCGTTGCGCTTGCCTTCCCCTCTTTGGTCTTTCCATAACCTTGAACCTTCCAAGTTGGAAGGCTGTCGGTTAGCGCTACGGAGATGTGTTGAAGCTAGGTGTCAGGACGTCGAATGTTTCAGTACTCTGTCAGTTTTGTGCCTAGCTAGTTATTGCACTTTCTGACTGTATATAGTATCATGTTACAGTGATGGAGAGTTACTCTTAACTCGTATCCATATGTCCTTTTCTCTTCTACAATAATAATAATGGTAATTTTATGAAAGGATTGGGAGAACTTCAAATTCAAAGGAACAGTAGGGGAAGTGAACTGCCTGAAAAGAGAAAAAATTGCCAGACCAACCAGGACTCGAACCCGGGACCTTGCTTGTCATGAGCAATGCTCTAACCACTGAGCTATGGGACCGGGCTGAACCTCAGTAGAAGGCGCTGACAAGGTTTTCACTCCAAAGGCAGCTCACAACACGTGCCACACATACTGATGGCACTTGGGTCTTTCTCCCTCCCCCAGGAGACCAACCACGGTCAGTTTCTGGACCCTACCAGAAGTGAAAGAGAGTGATAAATTTATGAAAGGATTGGGAGAACTTCAAATTCAAAGGAACAGTAGGGGAAGTGAACTGCCTGAAAAGAGAAAAAATCGCCAGACCCACCAGGACTCGAACCCGTTTTTTTTGGAGTGAAAACCTTGTCAGCGCCTTCTAGGTTCAGCCCGGTCCCATAGCTCAGTGGTTAGAGCATTGCTCATGACAAGCAAGGTCCCGGGTTCGAGTCCTGGTGCCCGGGTCTGGCGATTTTTTTCTCTTTTCAGGCAGTTCACTTCCCCTACTGTTCCTTTGAATTTGAAGTTCTACCAATCCTTTCATAAACTTATCACTCTCTTTCACTTCTGGTAGGGTCCAGAAACTGACCGTGGTTGGTCCCCTGGGGGAGGGAGAAAGACCCAAGTGCCATCAGTATGTGTGGCACGTGTTGTGAGCTGCCTTTGGAGTGAAAACCTTGTCAGCGCCTTCTAGGTTCAGCCCTGTCCCATAGCTCAGTGGTTAGAGCATTGCTCATGACAAGCAAGGTCCCGGGTTCGAGTCCTGGTTGGTCTGGCGATTTTTTCTGTTTTCAGGCAGTTCACTTCCCCTACTGTTCCTTTGAATTTGAAGTTCTCCCAATCCTTTCATAAACTTATCACTCTCTTTCACTTCTGGTAGGGTCCAGAAACTGACCGTGGTTGGTCCCCTGGGGGAGGGAGAAAGACCCAAGTACCATCAGTATGTGTGGCACGTGTTGTGAGCTGCCTTTGGAGTGAAAACCTTGCCAGCGCCTTCTAGGTTCAGCCCGGTCCCATAGCTCAGTGGTTAGAGCATTGCTCATGACAAGCAAGGTCCCGGGTTCGAGTCCTGGTTGGTCTGGCGATTTTTTTCTCTTTTCAGGCAGTTCACTTCCCCTACTGTTCCTTTGAATAATAGTACCATAAAGTACCGCCAGAGCGCCCCGTCTCGCGAGAGCGCCCCACCTTGATTTTACAGCCAAGGGAAGAAAATCGTATGGCCGAATGCTACTAAGTTTGTACTGTGTGAAAACCTTTTTGTACTAAGGTCACACTGGGCATGTTTTTTATGTGGAGCTCGCATCCGCTCAAAGGTAAACTGGGTACGGATTGACTGCATAACGTGCAGTGTGTGTACAAGGTCCGTGTCGTATGACCTACGGACAGGAAACCACCTCCACAAGACGACCACGAAAGGACGAGATGGTGGGGCGCTCTGGCGGTACTTTACGGTAATAATAATAGTTTTAGGAAATTAGAGGCCACATGCCACGTACTGCTCTTTTCTCTCCGAAACTCAACACTTGCAAGCCAGATATGAAAGAAAGAAAAAATCATCAGTCACACCACCGGGACTCGAACCAGGGACCTTGCTATTCGCGAGCAATGCTCTAAGAATAGCAAGGTCCCTGGTTCGAGTCCCGGTGGTGTGACTGATGATTTTTTTCTTTCTTTCATATCTGGCTTGCAAGTGTTGAGTTTCGGAGAGAAAAGAGCAGTACGTGGCATGTGGCCTCTAATTTCCTAAAACTTCGAAATTCTCCGTGAATTCCAAATTTGATATTGCAAGTAATAATAATAATAATAATAACAGTACAGGTCGCATGTCTCCCAAATAATGGGTTCCACGCATCTGTTAACTGTTTCATCATGAAATAGATTGCAGCAGGAAGAATAGCATACTAAAAAAACCATAATTATACAGGTTCTAGCACATGACAAGTACATGCCATTTTTTTACACCGATGTACATTTGTCAATGAAGTCCAGCCATAGCTTTTTGTCCCGTGCAGTGTTGAGGCAATCCTCGAGCGTGTGTCCGAGAGGGGAGATGTCGGATTTCACCACATCAATCCACCGAAGCCTCGGTCGTCCTCGTGGACGCTTGATCTTTGACGTGTCGATGGCCATGGTTAGCGCGCCATAGGAAGCCGTGCCCGGACCTTCCCGAACAACTTGGCCGAACCATAGGAGACGTCTTCTCTTGCAGACCCTGCTGATTGGTTGTGACCCGAAACAACGAATTAATTCTACGTGGCCTTATGGGTGGGATACGAAGACGTACACTGTGCCTAGGATAATATCATTCACTTCGTATTGACCAACCAAGGTCACCCCTGCATTCCCAGTTACCATCTTGCAAGAAGTAGGTTCCATCCATACTGCTGGTACAGTCTGTCCTGCGTATAATATTTCCGCATCTTCTTCGAGTTTGGCACTTTATGGAGTTTGGGGAACGAGATGAGGGGGGGGGGGGGGGGGTCGTCCACTTCCTAGGCATTGCCTGTCAGCTGGCAACGCTGTAACAAGCAAAGCTTTCTACACTGAATGATACAAGCGTGGTATTTCGTGTTCTGTTTGTATGTGTGCAGGTGATGAACAGCGAATGGAGCCTCCATGTTTATCTCCTGCGAGTCAACACGGCGGCGGCGGCGGACACGACACAGGAGGCTATTTAGTTTGAGCCAAGCACTAAGATTAGATTGTCATCTTGTTGATCGACTAACTGTTACTTCAAAGAACAATTTGAATACCACCACTGACTTTTGAATACCACCACTGACTCATGAATACCACCACTGACTCATGAATACCACCACTGACTACCACCACTGACATGCCATTGAAACTCATAACACAGGGCCTGAACTAACATTAGTACTATCATCAAGGAATTATCATATCTTCCATTCCCAGTAATCCAACATAGATCAGCCCCCCCCCCCCCCCCCCCAAACACACACACCGTCTATCTCCATGAAGCCCTGCCGGTATGGCTGCAATGTGCGGACATATGATCAGGGGCACTCACTGTAGCGGATTCCCACTGACTTTGATTGTGAATTATGTCATATTGACCGTGATGATACAGCTTAGTCTAAGCTGCAGTTATGGTACTACATATTCGGAATACTATCAAGTAGCTGTTACGACTGATCTACATGTCAGTGTGGCTCGCTTTGTCAGAATCATTGAAAACAGGTAAAAATTCTTCACTGAGTCGGGCCATCGGGATCGGGAGGGCATTCATTGTGTGAATTTTGGCTTTCACTTCTGGCCGAACATGGACAAAATATGACATGCTAGAGCCGCTTTGCAATAGCCAGCCATGCAGGGAGCCTTACCATCATAATTCATGTCATGAAGAGTAACCCGGCGCTATGCAGGAAGCCCTACACTAGTATGCGTGTCCGGCATCAAGAGTAAATAATTTTCTCTTGGGAACTTATCAATTATTGAAAAGTTCCCAAGAGCACGCAACTCTACGCGAGTTTGCTATGGTGTCATGTCCGCCTACGGCGAAACTCACATTCTGTGTTTACGTCGTTGTACGTTCCCCAGCCTATTTTAGCAAGCAGAGGAGTAGTAAAAATAGCATTTTCCGGGGTTTACTTTGGTGGCGACAGTTTTCACCTAAAATAAAACGCACCGAAAATGTCGGTACCACAGTACAGTACACTTCCAGGAAAACGGGTTTACCGAAAATTTCCCTCCAAGTCCAAGACCATTGAACCGCCGATTTTGGAGAATACCGAAAATACTACACCACCGAAAATGTCTGCTTTCACAGTAGCGAGGTTTTGCATTCCGAAATTCGGCAAAAAGATTCGGCACGCGGGAGCGAGGTCGAAAATGCACACGAAGATTCGGCGTGTTTGTTCGGAAAAAGCTCACTTTGTCGAAAATATTTTTCGGATGCATTTTCTTGTAGAAGAGCGCTAGCGCATGATTTATTCAAAGAGGTTTCTTATCTCGGCATCGCTTGGCAGGCGTCTTTGGCGACATAGCATCGCCAACTACCTCTGATTGCTCCTCTCCACTGCCTGTCTACTCTCTTTCGCCTGGAGTGTCCTCACCGTCATCTGTGTGGCTGAAAAGACTATGGCGACACGCATAAAATTTGACTTGGCCATGGAGTTGGTTTTCCTGAGGCGACTGAGGAGGCAGGTTTGGCCCTCGACTCTTTGGGCGATCAAAGTTCGTAGGAATCAGCAAGAAAAGGAGCACGGGACAGGACGTTGCTGATGCTGGGGCTCACGAAATGAAAACACATCATTTTCGACTTGCAAAACAAACGTTGGTGCGAAAATTCGGCATTTTGATGTTCGACAAATGACCGAAGAACGCTGTACCGAAATTCGGAATGCAAAACCTCACTAGTATTTCTTGACGTCATGACGCAGATTATTCTTTGGCAACCGCCGTTGCTGTGTGTATGGCCAATCAGAGTCGAAATATTACGACATTCACATGTGCTTGGCATGCTGGCTCGTTGAAGTCGAAATCGAAGTCAGTGAAGTAAATAATTCTGTTGAGTATCTTCATGACTTCAATGTTCAAACTTTGCGACCCTCTTCTTTACACCTGTTCGTCCCCCTCTGTACCTTGCTGCTAGACATTCAACAGGGTCGGTTTTACTGCGCTGCTTTGAATAACAGATTACATAGCACAGTGATGTTTTTTTAGTTCATGAGACTTCACTTTTTCTTGCATTAGTGTTCATTATTGACATGGGTGGAACGGAATCTAGCCCAGAGGTTGTGGAGGAAGTCGATAATGTCATCACGGTACAGTAGTCGAATGCCACCTGGATTGAGTTTCCACGCTGGCGTTTCAAATATCGCTTTTCTGACGATGTGCTATTAGATTTCTCCAAGAGCTGCAGAATACTTGATGCAAGGTGGAGCATCTGGTAAATAAACTATGATCACTTAAATATACATGCAGCTTCATAATAAAATTAGTTTTCATTCCATTTGTTGGTCACTGAAATCTGCAGACTTTCCTTGTGAATTGATTTTGCACTTCTATGAACATGACCCAAACCAGAGCTGACCCAATCAAGCTGTTGAAGCTCAAGCAGCAAGGGATAGTAGCATAAGCTGAAACAATATCACCTCCAACATGAATTACTCCTAATTACTTGTGCTTCAACATTCCCCAAAAGATGTGACAAAGTTATGTTTATCAACTACAGTAGAGTCGCGCGTCCAAGAACGTTGTTTCCAAGGGGTTGGCCTGGGGTGTTCTTATTTTGTTGGGCAATCTGGCTACGTTCTTATAGCACGTTCTTAGAAACAATTCGTACTGGATCATATCTATCGCAAACTGAGCTGCCGGAGAACCAAAACCGCCGCTCTTAACTTTAGGCTGTGGCGTTCTTAGCATTTCAGGCTGGACGTTCTTGGGCTCCACGTTCTTCAGCGCGTGATTACTGTATGGTAGAAAGGGAAAAAGAGGCAAAACCTTAAATTGTGTGCTCTGCAATAAGCACAAGTGCTGCACAAGCCGAGGAGAAGTCCAAGATGGAACTGGAAGACACTGAGGGCAGTGATTGTGTAAATGAGAGTTCTTGTCTGCATTTCAAGCCGTTCAGTGTTCTTCTAGTACCTTCACTGATAAGATCTGTGCGGTCGGACCAGCTCTAGATTGGAATCTGTGCGGTGGGACCAGCTCTAGATTGGAATCTGTGCGGTGGGACCAGCTCTAGATTGGAATCTGTGCGGTGGGACCAGCTCTAGATTGGAATCTGTGCGGTGGGACCAGCTCTAGATTGGAATCTGTGCGGTGGGACCAGCTCTAGATTGGAATCTGTGCGGTGGGACCAGCTCTAGATTGGAATCTGTGCGGTGGGACCAGCTCTAGATTGGAATCTGTGCGGTGGGACCAGCTCTAGATTGGAATCAATGTATGTGGTTTGTAGCTGGTGTTGTATAAACGAGGCCAGCTGATGAGGGCTTGCAATTGTGAGGAATAATCGATCAGTATAGCAAGTACCAGGCAGGCATAGTGGGATGGTCTAAGACCATGATTGAGAAACAGAGGGTACCAGGTTCAAGTCCTGCTTGGAAGCGGAAGGAATTTTTCCAGCCGTGCTGCGACCCACAGTTAATTGGGAACTCGTGGCCTGGCACGAGGGTAACATGGATGCAGCTAATGGGATTTCGGTCTTTGACCACTTGGTGGTGGGTCTGATCTACTCACCTCCCACCGTTTAGGAGCTGCATCTGCGCCTTGATCCTAGAGGGTGGTGGCGTTCCCACGGCGGATGCGGAAAACTCGGCTTCCAGCCGAGTCTCACGCGAACCGTGAAATTTATTTTTATTTAATTTATAGCAAGTACCCTCCGGTGTGGAACTTGGCTACCATCCCCTCCTGTGTCAAGGATAAGATGATCAAACACGGCATAGTAAAGTGGCCACTCATGTCAAACAACTTTTGCTTAAAACGAATGAAGTTGTTTGGCGATTGGCCCACATATTTTAATAAGCATGCTTTGCGACCGATTACTAGTATCGAGTGCAAACATAGCGAGTAAGTGACAAGTAATAGGCATGTTTGCTTTGCCCCTAGTAGAAACTAGAAAAGCCCAACATGACGCGATCATTGCGTTGGGCCTGGAGAAGTTGGGGAAGTGACTTGAACGTACCCAGTAGAGATATGTGCCCGCATCTTGACATCCAGACAAGGGACATGTAATGTAGTGTAGTGTAGTGAGAGTTTGTGTATTTTTGGTTTTGATGTTGTTGGCACGCTGTACATCCCATCCTCAGCAGGAAACATGCGCCACTTATGCCAAATTGGCCATAAACAAGAGTAACGTTATACTCCTGTTATCTCTTTTCTATGGGCCAGATGCGCGGCGCACTGCCTTCATTGCATCATACACCTACAGTACGTGCACTGCAGAAAATTAAACGCTAAACTTTCCCCGTTGTTTGATTTGAACTTTTTGTACGGGACTGAAGTTCGTGCAACCGAAATTTTGAGATTGCGTCGGTACTCAAACGAATTGAGCAAAAACAGATGTGCTGGTACGAGAGATTGTGGGTTTGAGTACACGGGTACAGGGTGTTGCATAATGATTCAATGAAGGTAGCGCGCAGACCCATATCCACAATTGCATACTCTTGCTATTATGTGTTCTACCTATGTCCAGGTCCGGATCAAAGGGTGGCATATCTCAGGAAAGAGAACAATGTACTACGAAACTACATTGTCTCTCAGCAGCGGGAATTGGACCAGTTTGAACATGATCTCAATCAAGCTATTGAGGTAAGTTACAGCGAGTTAGTCTGCGGTTCAAGTACATGTACATTGCACTGCAGTACTGCAGTAGTCCCTGTGTTACTTGGTGCTAGTTGTGCCACACTCATTTTGCTGGATTAGGGAGGGAATTGGATCATACTTGTACTTGCTAAGAATGAGTGAGATTTGAGTCATTGGGTATGGTGCTTTTTCCTTCTTTCATAAGCTATGCAAAGTGAGATGAGACTTACAAGTGCAGTGGGAGAATATGGAAACATTTCCCATTCTGGGCCATGTAAACACACGACGTCTCAGATAGTCTTCCTCCAGTGAAAATTGTAGACATACTGCTACCGAAAATCCGCCTCTCTGGATTATGTACACTGTGTATAGTGTTCTGTTGGTCATTTAAGATCTCATCTATGCTGGTTACCATAATTATCAGTGTGTGTGTGTGTGTGTGTGTGTGTGTGTGTTTGTGTGTGTGTGTGTGTGTGTGTGTGTGTGGTTAACAGGTATGTATACTTCAAATAGAAAGTATACGAACCCTGAAACCAACAAATGGACTGCTTCTGGCTAGATTAACTCTTGTGTAATCAATGGTGCTAGTGACGCTTAGATCAGATCCACTCTGATTTAGCCACCCACACTAGTAGCAAGTATTACCTTCACTGGGGGCAGGGGTAACTGCAGTTGGATCCCAGGACGGATACCTTGATGCCGTCAATCCTTTTTCTGCACCTTGTCCTCACCCACTTACTGAGGTGTGGTGAGCCCATAAGTGGGATCATTTTCAAGTCCACCCAGAGTTTTGGGGATTTCAGGGGGTGTCGGCCGTTGGGCGGTTCAATATCCAGTTGAGTCATCTTTCCAAGATTCCTTTTTGAGTCTCTCTCCCCTCTCCCGGGGAGACCCACGTGACCAGTTTGGCAGTGAGCAACAAGTACAAGTGTGTGTGTGTGTGTGTGTGTGTGTGTGTGTGTGTGTGTGTGTGTGTGTGTGTGTGTGTGTGTGTGTGTGTGTGTGTGTGTGTGTGCTTGCGTACATGTGTGTGTGTGTGTGGGTGTGCTTGCGTACATGTGTGTGTGTGTGTGTGTGTGTGTGTGTGTGTGTGTGTGTGTGTGTGTGTGTGTGTGTGCTTGCGTACATGTGTGTGTGTGTGTGTGTGTGTGTGTGTGTGTGTGTGTGTGTGTGTGTGTGTGTGTGTGTGTGTGTGTGCTTGCGTACATGTGTGTGTGTGTGCGTGCGTGCGTGCGGGTGGGTGGGTGGGTGTTTTGTGCATGCTTCCCTTATTCTTTGCCTTCTTAGACGATGAACAGGCAAGAGAAGGTGGAGTCAGATGCTAGAAATGTCAAGGAGTCATACGATAGTAAACTAGCTGAATTGGAAAAGGAGGTGAGTCACCCGTATATTCTGTCTTTCATGCTGGCATTGCTCTCTCTGTATTGTCCAAGTTAACTTTTGTTGAATGTGATCATGGACGAAGTCGCCGAAAACTGGACGACTAGATTGTCATCATGCTGATCAGTATCTCATGTGTGTGCGTGTATGCGTGCGTGCGTGTGTGTGTCTGTGTGCGTGCGGTTTGCAGAAAGAATCCCATCGCGTGGCTGCCCAGGAGGCGTTTGATGCGTCATCTACACAATTGCGTCAGAGAATCAGGTAAATATACCTTCCGGTACCGTTGTCCATTCAGACGAATTGCTGTAGATGATTGCCAAGAAAGTTCATTTTGGAATTGATGAAATTGACCACCGCTTGTGCTACATGCCTTATGTTGTAATGTGCCTCTGCAGAGATTTGGTTCCTCCCAGTGATTCACACCCGTGTGAAGCTCAGCGTAGCTCTGTCTTCAATTGCTTGCGCTCCAATGCTGGCCAATCATTAAATTGTTCGGAAGAGGCAAGTGCGTTTCGAGAATGCGCAAGACAGGCAACCCAGGTACAGTAATTGTTCTTACGTTATGTCATTGGGGGGGGGGGGGGGGGGGTGTTGCAACGAACTTGCCTTGTTCCACTGTTGTACTGTGTCATTGTAAGATGTTATCAGTGTCTGCTAGTGCGGCTTGGTGTCGGGATTCTAGTTCCGAGTGGGAACATTCCTGTTTACCAGTGAAAAAAGGCTATGGACTGGTGTATTGAAAGTGATTTACCGAGAGTCCAAAAACAGCGTGTGGCCTGTGGTTTGGTAGACTCTTGATAGGAATGTTTACAGCTAAGATGTACTTCAGTAGACTTCTCTAGAGATGTAAGATAGCACTGCTCAAAGCAGCCAACTGATATTGGAGATCGATAACTTGAAATGAAAATAAAGCAAGTGCTTCAGAAAGAGAAGCAAGTGCATCAGCCCGGGTGCACTACATTACAGTACTAGTGTGTTCATCGCATATCAAATCACAACGGGCTGGCGGCCAGCCAAGCCATGCACATGCACATGCACATGTATGTAAACTGTAACTAAATTCTCTTGATGGGCTGGCCTGCTCGATCCAGCCCGGACTGGAGTTGCACATATAATCAACCCCTAACTCGGAGGGAGTTGTGGTTGCTCGTGAGAGTGCTCCATACGCTAAGGTGTGGAGCCTAGTGTGTGTATAATCAACCCCCATAAAATCTGTTGGCACAATCTCCATGTAGACGCTATGTTTAGAGACTTCAATCGAAAAACCGAATTCATGAATTTCGCATAAAACGCTAGTTTTTTCTAAACCGGGAAGATGTGAGAAACAACCTGTGAAAATTTGAACCCAAAGTTATAGTCGATTGAAGATCGAAAAACGGGGTAGAAAATAGTCACAGAACTTGTGACAGAAGTACTTGTAAATGCAAGTATGTATGTGAGCCGTGTGGTTTCCGTCCAGCGCTGCACTATCTGGTGCGTACTAGTACATGGCGATACAGGATGTGTGCATGCATGCAGTGTGCACGCATGCCGTGCGCGCCTACTTGCACAAGTCACACGTTTTCACCGTCACTGCTTCTACAGTGTGCGCACAGTTGAAGTTCACTCGATTTTTTTCGTCTACCACCAGGAAATCGCCGTGGGCTGGCTTCTGTGATCATTTTCCTTCTGCCGCGATAAAGCGCGAGCCTAAATGTTCTAGAATCCTCTTGGTTTGGGCTAATTCGAGGCCGCTGAACACGAAAATCGGGTGTTCCTCGCGGGGCCGAGTACGGATCTGGTCGAAATTAGTACTTCGAAGTGCATCCGCGCCAAGCGCGGAGGCATTATTTTTGGAAGCATGGCATGTGTGGCACCATTGGAAAGGTAATGACCTCAGCTGCCTAGAAATAGCATCGACAAGGCCGAAAAGGCCGCGGGAGAAGATACTCGGGCCTCGAACTGCAGTCACGAGGCGCCCATTCACTTTGTACAGGCGAGCTGTGACTGCATTTTTCGCTTTTCAGTGACCGGAACTGAACTCCCTACTATGTTGCGTGTTACCATGGTTACTCTCAAGTCCTTTGAAAGGTTGGTGTATGCTTGTGTGTCTATGTCTCTCTTTTCCTGCAGAATGCCAAGAATTAACTGTCACTACAGGTGTGGCGGACGCAGCTTTCTGTTTGCTATTCTGGATTGTTCCTGTTGTTTATCTCTGTCGTTTGAGTAGATGTCGGTTGTGTAAAGTCTTTTCTGCCCAAGTTAGTGATGGTTTTGAGTGTGTGTGTGTGTGTGTGTGTGTGTGTGTGTGTGTGTGTGTGTGTGTACGTGCGTACGTGCGTACCCTTGTCTTATCATTACCGGTACTTCAAAGTAGGACTCACACAGTCATGAGCTATGGTGACAGTTTGTATTTGCTTGTCAAATTTCTTCTCCTTTCCGAATCCTCTCAACTGCCTGCCTCTCCTCAATGCAAGCTCTGAGTCATAGTCGCAGAGGCATATTCTGCCTTGCTCGATCTCCGCTGTCTTTCCTTTGAACACAGTCCCTCCTCAATATTTCTAATGCTGAATATGCCATTTCTGGCAGGACATCATCCGTAGGAACATCTGGATGCATGTACTGCAAATCAACAAATTGTGAATTTCGTCGTAGCGTCATGCGTGTATGTTGAGATAGAGCATTTGTGGCATCAAATTGCATGTACTTCGACTCTCCGAGGTAACTGCAAACACCTACCATGTTACAGTGGGGAAGATGCATTGAACTCCCGACACAACAAGAGCACAGTAATTTTAGTTATAATTCATACATTTACATTTTAATGGATACCTGACCGGTTTCTGCAATTAGAATGCTTCATCAGAGGATGAAGAATGAGGTAGAAAACACTAGCTTATATACATGTACACGGTAGGCATGAATTGGCATACTAGTAGTGTAAAGTGGAGAAGGTTGCTAGTCATGTTGCGCTATGCACCAGTAGCTGAGCGTGTAGCAATGCAGTACTTGAAAATAATTGTCTTGGCGCAAATGTGGCTAATACACATGGGTAGCGTCAAGAGTACATAACCCCCCAAGAGTGTGCAACTCCCACATACCCTGCTGTCCCGACAGAATTTCAAGTTGACGTCATTATTTATGACGCAATGCTCCTTGCACCAGTGATTTACAACATGTGTACGGGTGTCAACGCATCACACGTTTTTCTTTGCAATAATTTGTACAGGATCGATCGGCTTCGGTCAACCACAGGTTCCGGATTCGTCTGATAATCCGTGTACAGTGCGCATTGCATCATCAAAATGACGTCAACTTGAAATTCTGTCGGGACAGCACCCATAGTGGAGTTGCACACTCTGGGGGGTTATGTACTCTTGGTAGCGTGAACCTTAGGAAATAGCTAGGTGAAAAGTTGTAAAGCTGTACAAAAGTAAATGAACCATAGGGTTGAACTAGGTGAAAGTTGTAGGTTTGTACAGATGTTTTTGGTTGGTTCCAGAAATTTATGGAACCAACCAAAATGCAGAGCAAAGTATGCTCTGCCGTATGAGTGAACTAATAATTATTGTAAAAAAGCTGCTTGGTTTTTCTGAAGAAAATCTGACAATCAGTAAAAAGTGACTGTTTCAGAAGGGAGCGATAGTTTGCTCCGACAAAGTGCGGATGGAATGTGGTGCAGAAAACATACTGTTTGTTCTTATGCACCGAGTCTGTAGCTTTATTTACAAATACTTGCGGTTTGGGCTCTACAGCAATGAATAGCGTACCCAGGAATTCAGGTGGATATCCTCGTTTTCTGAGTCTGAGCCAGAAAAGCTTGCGAATCTTGAGAATATCCTCTAGTAGCTGGTTTGTACGGTTGTACCGGATGAGCTCTGCATTGATAAATGATCTAAGATTAGACCGGGGCCGCGGGGGGTGGTCTGATTTGAACGGGATGTATAAATATGCATTCCTGTCTTTCTGGAAAGTTCTGTAGGAGAATCTATCCGCATCTATCTTAAAAATTTCTAAATCATAAATCGCTGTATACGACGGCATCAAATTTTATCCTATCGAAAGTCTTGCATAGATCGTCAATGAATCGTCCAAAAAAGTAAACTGATGAACGGAAACTTTGAAGAGCTTTTTTCTCGTGCATAAAGCCAAGCCGAAAGCCCATTGTACATGACCAGAAGGGTCGCTTCATAGCCGATGACCAGGAGGCGGCATCTGCGGTCCGGAGCCACTTCCATGACCAGTTTCGTGGGAATGTGGATGCAGGCGTCGAGCCATTCACCGGTCGCCCAAGAAGCCTCCAAAGACAAATCTCATCTGCTGAGGTCTCCAACGCACTGAAAAAACTGAATAATGGAAGGTCCCCTGGCCCAGATGGAGTCCCAGGCGAACTCTTGAAATATGGAAGAGAAAACCTAGCACCTCACATTGCCTGTCTGTTCAACAGCATGTTTACAACTCACCAGCACCTTGACCTGGGATGTGGCACACTGGTACCGTTGCAGAAACCAGGAAAGACGGTTGGACCACCTGGAAATCTGCGCCCTATTGTCCTCCTTACATCATTACGCAAAACGCTCTCCATTATTACATTGCGAAGAATATCGTCGAAAGTCGGTGAGTACTTGTCTCCGACGCAGAGTGGTTTCAGAGCAGGCCGATCTACAGCGGACCTTGTTTGGAGCCACAGATGGTTTGCAGCAACATGTCAGCATTATCGGCGGGAAATGACCATTCTTGGAATCGACATGTCCAAAGCATTCGACTGTATACATCGTGACAAACTGTTGACAGTTCTCGAGTCTTTCCTGACGGAGGATGATGTTCGGCTGGTTAGAGTGCTGTTGACCAACACAACTCTGCAGGTACGCATCGGCAGGGCAGTATCAGAGTCCCTTGAAACTACAATTGGCACCCCGCAGGGTGATTCTCTCTCCCCGGTGTTGTTTGTTATATACTTAGAGGCAGCACTGAGAGATCTGAGGAGCACCCAGGTGGCACGAAACAGACCGCCAATGGATCAAAGCATCAACATTCCATTTGAGCTTGTCTACGCAGATGACACTGATTTCATAAGCCTTAGTCGTCAATGGCTCACAGAGCTCGAACCGGTCATAGACCACACTCTCGGGCAGTGGGCCCTGAGAGTCAACAACACCAAAACTGAGTGGACAGAGCTGGGTCGATCTGTAGACAGAATTGACGAGCGCTGGAGGACATCCCGAAAGCTGGGCTCACTCCTGGGCGACATTGAGGATGTGACACGTCGCAGGCAATTGGCCGAGGCTGCCTTCCGATCCATGTGGTCTCTTTGGAAGCGCCGAGGACTGATCCGAGAGCCTCTGCGTATGAGGTTGTACTGCGCCTTTATCATGCCGATACTTCTCTATAATTCAGGCACCTGGGGCCTGACGGTTGCTAGCGAACGCTCCCTGGACGCTTTCCATAGAAGGCAACTCAGGTCACTTCTCGGCATCACATGGCCACAAAAGATTAGTAATTTGGCGTTGTATGCCCGATGTGGAGTGGAGCCGGTGTCGGACTTGATCCGAAATTCACGCTGGAGTTTATTCGGGCATGTGCTTCGCCTGGGTAAGGACACGCCAGCACGATTGAGCATGGAGCAATACTTTCAGGCACCCGAGGGGAGGTACCGTGGGAGGCCGAGGGTGACACTACCAATAAAGCTCCACACCGATCTGTCCCAGTCGAACAATGGGCACCTGCGGAGTGTTGAGGACTTGCGCCGTCTGGAGCGGATTGCTGTGGACCGTCCAGCATGGAACGCGCTGGTGAAGAGTGTTTGTGCACACCCTCGTCACAAGTAGAAACAGCCATGGCACCCTTATAAACTCATAACAACCATTCTATAATAATATTACTATTTGAATCTTTTAATAATTATCTGGCAACTCAACCTCATACGTATAATTATCTGGCCACCCATTGACCATGATGCTACATGAGGAGACAATAGTGATGACATTTTTCCAATGAGACCAATTTTATGACGCTCCATGTTACTGAAGGACTAACTTCGATCATTGGTTTTGTAGAGCCCCATTCTCTAGGAGCTGTCTACATCTGCTTTGTTTCAATGTCCAGCATAAGCGAACGTGTGGATCAAGCATAACTGCTTGGTTGACGCTGCCGCGGGAATGCGTATAATAATAAATAATAATAAAAAGAAAAATATTAGCAACGTTGACGGCCATTGGGGTACCCATGGCCATACCGAACTCCTGATGGAAGAGCTTTTCCTTAAACTCAAAATAATTGTTTTCTAGGACAAATTCAACTAGGTCTACAATAAGAGAGCGTAATGGGTGTTCGGCTTCGGCAAGGAAATCATTGATAGCTGCTACTGTGTCTGACCAATGCATGTTAGTGTACAAACTGGTGACATCGGCTGTAACGATCATAGCATCAACAGGAAAGTCTTTACTGGATAGAACATTTGTGAGACTATGAGTGTCCTTGAGCACAGTGTTAGCAGGCGTCTTGGCAAACGCTTTACATAAATAGTGGTCTATGAGGCGAGATGCAGGTGTGGTGCAATAACCTAAGCAAGACACTATGGGTCTACCCTTTACAATGCCATTAGGACCTGGAGCCTTATGTATCTTAGGGAGCATGTAAAATTTCGCTGGTTTAAAAGGAAAACTTGCAAATAGTGCTCTGACATCTTTAGGGGAAAGTAGTGGTTCATGACTCTTCACGATGTCATGCAGAGACTGTTCAACGTAGTGAAGCTCTGGTACAATAGTGTCCAGATTAACTAAGCTATCACCTGGCGTGGGAATAAATCTGTAGTACTTGCAATCAGACAACTGTCTGTAGCCTTCTGCTATGTAATCTTCTACATTTAAGACAACTGTGCCTAGATTCTTATCAGCGTTAGTAATGACAATATCTGTTCGGCTGTTGAGACTACATAAAGCAAGTTTCTCACCGGGTGATAGGTTGTTTGGGCGATGTATTGAGCGAGCAGCAGTAACACCAGCTGTTAGTTCAGTCCTGAATTCTAGCAAAGCTGTTTCTGTGGCGATGGACACACGCGGTGGTTGTCTTGACGACCGTAGATGAAAACTGCGTATGTAACCATCATCACGGCGGGTGGTACCATGGTGTTGGTGAAGACCTCACCCCAGCGAACATTGTTTTTTTTTTTTTTTTTTTTTTTTTTTTTTAACTATTGACACAGCCCTACTGGAATACAGGTGGAGAACAAAAAGAAACGAGGAAAAGGACAAAACATAGGGGATGTAGGGACGACGTGCTGATGTGCTGGGAGCAACTCAACCGACCAGAGGTCTCGGCGTCAGCGTTGCAACTAGGCATCGAAAAATGTGTGTTGGGGGGGGGGGGGTTGCAGAAGAACAACTGCAAACAAACAGAAGCTAGAGAATACCACAAAATAATAACTTGGTGCGAAATAATGAGAAGAAAATAATGACGCCCAAAAGCGCTAAATACGAAATTAAGAAAAAGGAAAATAATAAACCACATAGCGCTAAAGCTGCACCAAATAATAATTTAAATTATAACTAAACCGGGTGGAAAACCAAGAAATCATAACAAACAAGACAAACTAAATAATAAATTAATGATAAAAAATTAAATAATAAAAGGTAAATGAAGCCCAATATCATCAGCATAGCCGAACCAAGGAACATGACCCGTGCCACAGTCAAGAGTTCATCCGTAGAAGTCGGTAGCCATCAGCCAGTGTTGGTGCGTGAGGTACTTATGGACATCTTCTTTGAACGTGTGGAGCCGCTTCAAGCTGAGTGGAGCCCTTACAATTTCGCTCGGCAAGCTGTTCCATACTGACACTACAGAATACGGGAAGGAGCGAGAAGCATAGGCAGGTGCTCTCCTGTCCAGGACTTGCTGCAGCTGCACATGGTGCTGCTGGCCAGGAGGGGGTCGACTCCGGGTGCGCCGAGCTTCTACATGGTTGGCTGGAGGGGGGATCATGGCGGTGAGCTGGGGTGGTCCTGGGATGCACTGGAGCTTGTACAGGTATACCAGCCCAGATACAATCCGGCGGTGGCACAGGCTTTGGAGAAGGGCACCAGGGCCAATAATGGCCATTGCACGTTTCTGTACACGGTCGAGTCGGGCGAGGTGGCTGGATGCAGCTCCCATCCACACAAGGGGAGCATACTCGAGGATGGGTCGCACAAATCCCTTGTACGCACAAAGCCGGCCATGGTAATCTAACACCCGGCAAGCCCGACGGAGAACACCCAGTCTCTGGCAGCCACGTGTCGCAATTGAGTGCAAGTGATCCCGGAATGACAGCTTGGCGTCAAATGTCACTCCAAGAAGCTTGATGGTGTTGGCTTCCGGAACCGCGATACCTCCAAACTTGATGTCAGGGACAGCAGGGTGTGTGGCTTTCGTAGTCATCAGCAGCTGTTGCGATTTAGAGGGCTCGAATCTGATGCGCCAGCGTTCTCCCCACTCTTCAAGACGCTTGAGGCTGGATTGCAAGGCGGCAGTCATGTCATGCATATTGTCCTGCGTGCGGATGAGGCTGTAGAGGGTTGTGTCGTCTGCAAAGGAACTTAGTCGCGTCTCGGGAGACAGGCACTGATCCAGGTCAGACACATACAAGAGGAAAAGTGTCGGGCCAAGGATACTGCCTTGGGGCACACCTGCTGTTATGGGCGCCGGAGAGGATGAGTCGCCGTGGACCAGGACTGATAGTTTGCGGTTCAGGAGGTAATCCTGCAGCCAGTGAAGCAGGCAGCCACCAATGCCAACGTTCTGGGCTTTGAAAATCAGTCCAGAGTGTGATACCCGATCAAATGCTCCTGCTATGTCCACCGCCACCATGTGAGCATACCCTCCATCGCTGACAGTCTTGACCCACTCAGTGTGCAAAGCAGTGAGGATGTCGCATGTGCCTCTTCCTTGCCGAAAGCCATATTGACTGTCGGGCAGAATATTGAAACGTTCCAGATAATTCACGAGCTGCGTGTTTACTATACTCTCCATTACTTTTGACAGGATGGATAGTAGTGAGACTGGCCGGTAATTCTTGGGATCCGAGCGGGGGCTCTTCTTGAAGACTGGAACCACATGGGCCAGCTTCCATTTGGTAGGTTGAACACCGTGGCGAAAGCAGAGTGAGAACAGTTTGGTGACTGGTTCTGCAAGCTCACTGGAGCACTGAGCTAGGACTCTTGCTGGAATATTGTCAGGTCCTGTTGCCTTCGATGTATTCAGCTTGGCTAGACGGCGGCGTACATCAGCAAGCCGGAAATGGATGCGGTCAAGACCATGGCGGTCCAAATGCTGCATTTCTGGCAGATCGTCTGGAGAGATGTCATCATCTGCAAGGCTACACTTCTGGGAGTAGTACCTGGCGAGGCAATTGGCCTTGGCTTGGCGAGTTGGATACTCTGTGCCGTCGGTGTCCTTCAGCAGAGGTATCTCAGAGGCACGCTCCATCCCAGCAGCTCTCTTCATGTTAGACCACCATTGCTTGTCGTTAAGTGAGCCTGAGCTGAGCTTAGCTTTGACACGAGCATCATGTGATGATTGGGCGCGCAGCAAAATAGCAGCTGTTCGGGCCACTAGGTCGATGAATGAAGCTCGCAAACCTCCATCATCGGGGTGCTGACGCCACCGTTTCCATGCACGAGTCTTTGCTTGAACTACAGTGCTGCACTCAGGTGTCCACCAACAAGGGTCTGTCGTCCGTACTGTCAGGGTCTTAGATGGTATAAACGTGTCCATTCCATCCAGAATTACAGTTGTGAGTTGTTCACATGCAAGTTCGGGGACATCGCAGACGACAGCAGCCCAGTCAAAGCTGCGGAAATGTGCCCTCAGTCTGCCCCAGTCTGCTTGGCCATAACGCCATACTTTCCTGCTTGTTGGCCGCTCCAGTACAGGAGTGATTTCCTGAAAGTTGGACAATACTACACTGTGCTCGAATTTAGCGATATCATTTTGTGAGCTGGTCAGTGCTGGGCAGTCGGCCGGTTGGACGGAAGTTGGACCCGTAGCCCAACACTTGGCGTTCTGCATTAGAGAAAGACAAACTGGAGTAATTGTGAAAGCCAGAGTTAGTAACGAATAGAGCATAGTCACGAAGGTTTAGATTCCAAATATACCGTAGGCGGCGGTCGCCTATCGTTTTGTCACATTTCTTCGGGCAGCTGGATTGGATTGCTTCTTCTTTACCTGCGTCCATCCGCCATCGTTTTTTGACGTCGGTTGTTTGGATTGGCGTTTCGTTTCTCTTGGCTGTTGGTGTTGCTTTGGCCTCGGCTGTTGCTTCGGCTGTTGCTGTTGTTTCGGCGGAGTCTTTGGTTGTTTAGATCTGCCTTTGCCAGTTGACAGAGTCGAGGAGGACTTACTCACTGCACCTAGTTGTCGCTTCACCTCACGTTTTATAAGGGTGCCAACTTCTTCAGCCTGGATTGGTGCGGTAGTAATATCAGCGGTTGCCTTCTCTTTGGTGTCTTTTGCCTTTTTATGTGCCGACTCTTTGGCTTCTCGAAGGTGTTTGTGATAACATGAAAGCAGGGGTGATCCGACTGCTGTGCAAGTCCATGTGTATCCTTGTGCAAGTACCTGTGTGACAGTTGACTTACTTTTACTTACTTTGCGATATACTCGTTGTAGCACAACATTCGATGCTGTTCTACAAAAGCTTTTCCGTGGCAACCATTACTGGAATAACTTCAGTCCAGCCTAGCTGGCTGATATGTCGGCAGGCATGCCTTTACTGATACAACTAAGTTACTTGTATGAAGAGTACATAACCGCCATGACTGCATGGGCTCTTGCACGTGTTGTAATGAACAGGTAATCCCTACAGTCAGTGCTGCTGCTCAATGAAATCAGATCAAGTGAGTCAGCTTTGCGCCCTGCACCAGTGAAAACCCCAGTGAATGAGGGCTCACGGGTTTAGGGATAGTTAGCACCTGTCGCGTACTTGACTCCCTTGATCGGATTTCATTGAGCTGAACTGTAGTTTGGCAATCTGTGATAACCGACCTGGACCCTGGATTACAGTAAGATCTGTGATAACCGACCTGGACTCTGGATTACAGTGCTGACCGGGCACTGAAGAGCACTAGTCTGGGAAGTGGCACAGATTTGGGAACAATCCAGGCTTGGTTTTCAGATTTTGAAAGCACATGCGTTTTCTACATGCTTTCCACGTGACGTGATGCCATTGACGTTTTTCAACGTTTTAGAACACTGCCAGGCTGCGCTTTGAGTCCCTGCGTTCATCGGCGCCCGATCTTACTGTAGGTCCCTGGTTCAACTCATCAACAAGCACCAGAGTAGTGTATAAGTATGACTGACTCCCTGCCATCACCAATACATGTACATAACCCTTAGGTTTACTTGTCTGATGAGTGCTTTTGCACGAAACTCAAAGCAACAACGAATTTCTCGGCTGTCCATCATTTGATGACTTGTGTGTCATTGCTCCATCTTTGATGTTGAGCACCCTTTTCGCAGCTGCGGGACCTGATCTTAAACTGTAACCCTTAAGGCCGATTCACCATACAACTTCTTGCGACGCGACATGTGACTTGCGACAGCGACACACGGTTCACAATATTCTTCATGTTTGTTGCGACATCTGGATATCCTCATGAGCAAGTAGTACTATGCACGTGCACTGCACGTGCACCCAGGGTCGAAACTGTACTCCATTTGTGTATGTCGCGTGTCGCATGTCGCAAAAGTTGAACTTTCTTCAACTTTGACAGGTGCCTTGCGACAGCTCGCGACAGGCATTTTCTTGTCGCGACTGTCGCAAATCGTGTGCCGCGTCGCAGAAAGTTGTATTGTGAATCGCCCTTCAGGGTCTGTACCTTAGGGTGTGTACTGTTGGTTTTATCCTTTTCAAAGGGAGGTTCTACCGCACTTCTACTGGGAAACATGACTACTTCGAAGTAGCTTACATGGAGGCTGTCACCTCATGCTTCAGTGTGGAAACATGGCGAAGGATGAGAGAGAGAAAGAGATCAGACCATCATAAAAGAGTAAAAGACGTCAAGAGAAAGAGTACCTCAAAGTACTTGTAGGTTTTACGACATTACTGCAATCAAGACCACACAAGTCCCCGGGGAGCAATCAAGACCACACAAGTCCCCGGGGAGCAATCAAGACTATACAATAATAGTGAGGTTCTGCTATACGTGAAACGTAGAGAAATCGCGTAGAGAACAGGTGTCGGGGCTAGAGTCTACGGCTTCGCGTGTTTTGGGTCCAGATTTCTACGCGTAGATGAGGTTCTCCACGTTGTGGCACACGCAGAGAAAATGCGTACGGATCTGCTGGGTATCATTCAAATCAGGCAGAAAACTGCCAAATTTGGAACGGGAAATTCCCAGTACACATTCTACGTGATTTCCTTACGCAAGCGTAGAGCAGAACAGATTTCCTTTACGCTACAGGAACGTGAAGAGCGTCCCCGGGATTCTTCGCATCGCGTTCCCGTAACGTAGAGCAGAACATCACTAATACCGCCGCTTGAGACAAAAGTAACTAAATTTACTTTCAAGTATTGAAAATGAAACACACATGGTCTAGGCTACATCACCTATATCACCTAAAGCACAACTACGCCTGTGTGGCTGAACGGCCAATGTCTTTGCGATGGTATGCACCGTCAAATGTAACATGGCTAACACCATCATATGCCAACTTGATAGCTGCATCCAATGAGATGGCGGAGGAGGCTGAGACAGCTAAGACACGTCCGCCGCTTGTTACCAGCTTGCCGTCAGTTACCGATGTTCCAGCTTGGTACACCTGAAAAAAGTTCACAAAAAAGAGAACAAACACACATGGTTGGAAATATATCTGAATGACAGAACGGAGCACAGTGCACAGTCTACTCTCGATTAGGGCCCGGTCACACATGCACTCCAAATCCGCTGGCTCCACTGAAGAAAAGTTGCAGGAGCGGACCATAGCAACTGTGAAAAGTGGAACTACCATTTCAGCAAAAACTCAAATCCGCTGGCTCAAAATTCTTGAGAGCGGCACTCTCGCTTCTGCAGAAAAACCACGGTCTGCTGTACTCGTACGGTATAGGGACTTGCTACGAGAAATTTGTACGTGTAAGATGTACACGAAGTTGGTTGTTCCAACGAGTTCAGGACTAATACCGCCGAAGTCGCAACTTCTAAGTTGGTAAGATGTACATGGAAGATAGTCAATGACCTCATGGCTTTACCTCACCGTATGCACCACAGTCCACTTCACTCCCATTTCCCTGGCAAATACGAGTTTGCCCTGTCTGTGTGTGTGTGTGACCATACACACATGGTTCTGCTAGAGAGGTACAAGTGGAACCCCTGTGAATGTGTGATCGGGTCCATAGTAACACACCTTCAAACGATGCTCGGGGCGGTACAACTTTTAGAGGCCCATGTTGACTGCGTTTCCAACGTTTTTGGCAAGATAGAACTGTACCTGGCTGGTAGCACGGTTCATTGTCAAGGAATTCTCAACACCGTCTTCATCGAGTCATGTGTCTGTGGATAAGAGCAGTGAGACATTGTAGTCAAGAGTACTTTTGTCGGGGTCTTCTTGCTCATGGTTTGCGATTAGTGACAGTTTGCAGTATGCCCTAATTAGGGATGAAACGATTACACCCATTACTCGGAACTTACTCGTTATCTCTGTGATACTCGTTATGCTGTTATGAGTATGCACTACTTGTACATGTGCACAGTACAGACTGTACTAGCTAAGTCACACTGTCTGCATAGTCAACTCCAGCACGTGTCATCCAAGGTGACACAATTCACACCTTTTTCTAGTCACCTTCGCACTTTTGGGATCTGGTGTGCACACACCCCCCCCCCCCCTCCCCAGCAGTAAAACAAACTGGCTGTGCAGGATTTGTCAGCATTCGTGACACACATGTACAAGCGTATACAGTGAAACCTGTTTAAGGCGACCCCTCAAGGGACGAGAAAAAGTGGTCGCCGTGGCCAGGTGGTCTTCTTATCCAGGTTCAGTGGGTCATGTGACCATATCCACATGTGATACATCATTTTGATCAGTGCATCACAGTGCACACACCTATGCTACTCTAGCACGACTCATGTGCCTGGGGTCCTCAGACCTGTCAAATGCCGTGCATGCACCATGTACATCTACACTTCCTGCACTGATGTGTAGATCTACCATGCCTGGTGCACCATGCAATGCGTACATAGCACTGTGCAACGCGGTCGCGGGTGGGTGGTCGTCGGTCGCGTTGAGCGAGTGGTCGCCTTATCCGAGGTGTTTTGAACGTGAATGCATCCGTGACAAGGAAAAGTGGTCGCCATGGTCGAGTGGTCGCCATTACAGGTTTTACTGTATTCCTACTGCATTTTACTGTATAGTGTATACACAAGTCATTCATGCGCTATTATCATATCACCCCCCCCCCCCCCCCCCCGGAGACCAGTAAAATTAATTTGTCATACATATCCAGCATACTCGTTTTATGATAACTCGATCGTTAATAATAAACAGTACTCGATAAAAAGGCGACGAGGAGACAATAACTTTATCAATGCGATTAATAGTATTAGTGAAGCGGACATTACAAAATGATGAATGAGAATACATGTATCTAAAATGGTTGTTCCTAATCGATTTTCTTGAGACTATCATCAGGGAAAATCGTCTCACAATAGAGGCTATACGGAGAAACAAACTACTTATAGGTTATTGGATAGTAGGAAGTATACAAGGTGAGGTGTGAAAAAACTAAAGTGGGAGAGAAGACGAAAGAAATTAGAAGAAAAGATGTGAGAGTGTTCCCGACGGTGTGAGCTACTACATACGGTGAGTGAAATGAAGGCGTGGAAGCAGGTGAATGTGATAGAGTGAGGAACTGTGAGGTGTAGGTGTATGCGAATGAATACGTGTGTGAATGCTAGGTGAAGAGTTCCTCACTCTATCACATTCACCTGCTTCCACGCCTTCAGTTCACTCACCTTATGTAGTAGCTCACACCGTCGGGAACACTCTCACATCTTTTCTTCTAATTTCTTTCGTCTTCTCTCCCACTTTAGTTTTTTCACACCTCACCTTGTATACTTCCCACTATCCAATAACCTATAAGTAGTTTGTTTCTCCGTATAGCCTCTATTGTGAGACGATTTTCCCTGATGATAGTCTCAAGAAAATCGATTAGGAACAACCATTTTAGATACATGTATTCTCATTCATCATTTTGTAATGTCCGCTTCACTAATACTATTAATCGCATTGATAAAGTACTCGATAAGAAGAAATGGATGATCGTTTCATCCCTAGGGGCCCCTAATTCCTAGTCCAGTTAACCAATACTTTGAAGTACATGTATAAAATAAATCTAGACATACCCGAACACCGTCGATAGCTTCCGCTTCATCTATGCCAGTGATGCACCTTCCTTTGGGATATGATCCAGGGTATCCCTCACTTGCCAGGACAACAGCTGCAGCATGGCGCCCTTCATGCCATTCCGGTTCAGCCTCAGGCAGCTTGCCATCAACACACGCCAGTAACGTGTCGTAGAGATCGCTCTTTAGAAGCGGCAGAATGACCTGTTCACAAAGCACATGTACACATAAGCGTTGATACATGCACCCTGGCACAGGATAAAATTGAATTATGAAAAACTTAGTACTTTGAAGTACACACAAGGTTTAGAAACCAGGAAACGGTTGACGGGCCTATTTCTCCTCATGGTGGCTGTAGCGAATAATGCCAAACATTGTCTTCTAGCGAGAAATGATGCTGCATTGGCGTATGTACATCATTCTCTGATAGTAGGACAAAGATAGCAAAGAGACAGATATGATGCAATAGTTTGCCAGAGATATTACTAACCTGAGCTTCCGGGTCACCAAAGCGGCAGTTGAATTCCAGCACCTTGGGCCCATCCTTGGTCAACATCAGTCCCGTATACAAAGCACCAACGTACGGACAGCCTTCCTCCCGCATACCGTCAACTGCTTTCTGGACAATGTCCCGCTTGATGACATCCATGACCGACGTTGTGACCTGCCATTGGAAACAAGCACAGTAACACACAGTTAGAGAGTACTTCACCCCATTGAGTACACCAAATTGACCAAATCAAATAGTATGTCATGAGTCCTACAGGCAAACATTTGTGTGCCTGTTTGTCTTTAGTCGATCTCATGTAATAAGGCAACACTGCCTGTTTGTTATTCGACGTTAAATAAACCAATCCAATCCAATCCAAACACATGTAATCAGGAACTACATGCGCAGTGTACTATAGTATCATCCACAAAACAGCAAGTATCTATCTTATAAATATGTGTATGAGAGAGTGCAGAAGTCAAGTCAATGTTGGAAAAGGCATCAACACAGAGCAGAAAAACCAATTTTCACGGCTTGTGTGAGAGTGAAGACCAAAGGTGGCATTTGCTGCACCCACGTTACTTTCCGACTGGTGAGAAGTCGCAGCACAACCAAAGAAAGACACGAGCCTGGAGCCCTCTGTTTGTCGGTCATGGTCTCAGAACATTCAAGTCACTTCACTTCAAGATGGTCTTCCAGTGTATTGCGGAATTTGGCAAGCACTGAAGTTGACTAAACTAATGATCAATTCATGAACTTTGACAGGCTATTGTAGTCATGATCCAGCGGCTTTTATTCCCCAAGTTATGCAAGCTATGCCGAAGTTTATACTTTATAGCATAATGTGTATGCGTCATGTACATCTGTGTGCCGCTTGTAGATGTGTGTGTGTACGTGTGTGTGCGTGCGTGCGTGTGTGTGTATGCGTCATGTATATCCGTGTGCCATGCAGGGGCGTGCGCAAGAATTTGACGAGGTGGGTCACGCGTGGGCCGCCCTAGCTCCAACACCTGGTAGAACAGAGCCAGCCGCCGTCAAGAGGCTTAGGTCTCGGGCGAGTGCCTGCAAAACCTGGCGGAGGTCAGCGTCACAAAAAAAGGCTTTAATAGGTGAATATCAGGATAGCAGTCACATAGACTAACCTGAGGGCACGGTGCGTAAGCACCCATCCCACCAGTGTTGGGACCTGTGTTGCCTTCACGAAGAGCCTTGTGATCTTGTGCAGGTGGCATGCACACGGCATGGCGGCCATCGCAAAAACTCAACACCTACACCAACACACACAGCAAAACATCACACCAAACCAGCAAGATCTCAGTTTGTGGCAATCTGATGTATAGCAAAAATTGAAAATGCTCAAAAGATGGAAATGTCATCAACAACAGTAAAAAAAACCTCCAAAAGAGCCTTACTGAGAATTCTTCACCAACCAGTCGCTCCTCCAGCACCACAATCTCACCAGCAGAACCGAACTTGCTTTCCTACAACACATTACAAGACAAAAGAAAGCATCTACAACTGTTTCAATGTACCACCAGGTACGGTGAGTAAGTGCTTGTCAGACAGCAACTGTAACTCCAGGTCTTTGCGATAAGGTTTGCCTTCAGTTCGTCCATTGGAACTACTTCTGGGAGGCGACCATTCGAAAGTGGGGCTGGAAATGGAATTTCAAGGCAGCTTTCCATCTGATAGCTGGCAATTGGTCTGATCATTGCCTATTTTGCTACCATGGCTATCCAGAGTCGTCATGGCAACTGTTTCAATCTACTTCTACTACGAATTGGCTTTCTCCAAATCTGCAAGGCACCTCTCCCCTTCTTACTCTTCTGGCATTCATGCATCTGCTACACTTTGTGTTGCTGGATCACACCACTTTCTAAGCCTCGGCTCCAAATCCAGCCACTCCACATTTAAACTGTATGTCACAGATACGTCACCACTTCAAATTTCATAAGAGTACACAGTTTCGACAGGGGGTACATGACGAACATAGCACCACAGCCTCACCGGGCTCCTCGGGCCAGTAACATTCGACTCGGCACCCAGAAGATTAGACGTCCTGAAGTTTCCATTTCAGTTTCGTACCTCCCCAGGCTCCAGTATGATACACCTACCTGGAGAATTGACCTGACAGCATCCTTCGCTTGTTCCTTGTCCTCGGCCACAATCACTCCCTTTCCAGCAGCTAAGCCACTGGCCTTCACAACCAAGCACTCATAATCAGCCGTGTCTATGTGCCTACATGCACTCTCCACGTCAGTGAAACTCTCCCAGCGGGCAGTTGGAATGTTATGCCGTGTCATGAATGACTTAGACCAGGCTTTGCTTGCTTCTATTTGTGCAGCTGCTGCTGACGGTCCAAAACACTTCACGTTTGCTTTTCCCAGGGTGTCAGCGATTCCTGCTGCAAGTGGTGCTTCTGGACCAATCACAGTCAAAGATACAGAATTTTCTTGGCACCAAATAGCAATTCCATCAGGATTGGAAGCCGTGATGCTTGAGGTATTCACCAATTTCCCTTTCGTCGTGCCAGGATTTCCAGGGGCCACGTACACTTTCCCAATTTTCGGAGATAAAGCCAGGCATGATGCAAGCACATGCTCCCGACCTCCGTTGCCAACAACGAGTACTGCGTCCGACATGATGCACTAACAATATTGCCAACACAGCAATGCAGCCACTGAGTCAGTAAATAAAAATAATTAATTGTGAATGTATTATATTAAAACTTGAAAAAGACAAAAAGGTCGAAATGAAGATGAGATTGAGAAAGCACTGCATGCACATGCACCGTTCCGATCGCGATATCCGCTAATGCGGCGCTATCGATTATAATCCAACTCACCACGTGTGCATGACCGGCCTAGCGCCTGCTACATGCAGCGCATATGCAGGCCATACGAACTTCGCGCGTTAGCGCCCTTTTCGAGCATTTTCGTGCAAAGAGCTCGTAAAAGCGTGCACGTGCACCTGACGTGATCGATCGAGCTCCAAAAATATGCAAAATGGCGTCATAAAGCCTAGCCCGCGCGAAAAACCTTATTTTTGCATGCGCGTGGTTTCAAATTCTCGACATTAGATTTGTGCGCTTGAGCATTTATTTTCCTTTTGTTTTGAGCTAGCTCAATTGTCGGGCGATGAATGTTCTTCCTTCGCCGTTCGATTTGCTTTGAAGTGGCAATGAAGGTTCGGCACAATGGCGACCAGGAAAGTGAAGGGGAACGATGCAGACCTATCAAATGTCGTGTTCGAAACCTCAGAGGAAGTGCAAGTTACACCGACCTTTGATAGTATGGGTCTACGTGAGGAACTTTTGCGAGGAATTTATGCTTACGGCTTTGAGAAGCCATCTGCTATTCAGCAACGGTCCATCAAACCAATAACCAGTGGAAGAGATGTGATTGCGCAGGCACAGTCCGGTACTGGAAAGACAGCTACTTTCTCAATCTCTTCATTGCAGATTTTGGACACCCAGCTTCGTGAAACGCAGGTTCTAGCCCTCTCACCGACTCGTGAGTTGGCAACACAGATTCAGAGAGTGGTTTTAGCACTTGGAGACCATATGAATGTGCAGTGTCATTCGTGCATTGGTGGTACCAATGTTGGAGAGGATATCCGGAAGCTAGAGTATGGCCAGCACATAGTGTCTGGAACGCCGGGCCGCGTTCGTGACATGATTTCTCGCCGTGCATTGCGTACTCGCTCCATCAAGATGTTGGTATTGGATGAGGCTGATGAGATGTTGAACAAAGGATTCAAGGAGCAGATCTACGAGGTGTACCGTTATTTGCCACCAGGCACGCAAGTCGTTCTTATCAGCGCTACCCTTCCTCATGAGATTCTTGAAATGACCCACAAGTTTATGAGCAATCCCATTCGCATTCTCGTAAAGCGTGATGAACTGACCCTGGAGGGTATCAAGCAGTTCTTTGTTGCCGTCGAGAGAGAGGAATGGAAGTTCGATACTCTGTGTGATTTGTACGACACACTCACCATTACACAGGCCGTCATCTTCTGCAACACCAAGAGAAAGGTTGATTGGCTGACGGAGAAGATGGTGGAGGCCAACTTCACAGTAGCATCAATGCATGGAGACATGCCACAGAAAGAGAGGGAAGCCATCATGAAGAAGTTCCGAGCTGGTGACAGCCGTGTCTTGATTTCAACAGATGTCTGGGCACGAGGTCTTGATGTGCAGCAAGTATCGCTGGTGATCAACTACGATCTGCCCAACAACCGTGAGTTGTACATCCATCGCATCGGTCGATCAGGTCGCTACGGTCGCAAGGGTGTTGCCATCAACTTTGTGAAGAGTGATGACATCCGCATTCTCCGTGATATCGAGCAGTACTACAGTACGCAAATTGATGAAATGCCAATGAATGTTGCCGATCTCATCTAGTTTTTCCACACAGGTATGGCGAGTTTGTTCCACATCATAGTCTTGTAGCATAGGCATCTGACAGTAGAGTTGGCTTCGATTTGCATGAACTGTATCTTTTTACTTTTATGTCTCTTCTCATCTTTTCTCACAGACATCCATGAAATGTGTCGTACTTGAAAATTCCGTTGTTTTATAAAACTTGCATGAAGTTAAAAAGTGATGATTGTAACGTTTTGTACATACATCGTGTGTAACACGTAAGCCAAGATTGGACCATGTGTGTTGTGATTTGTGTGCAATGCGGTGATCAGCGTGTACCTTAATGCCTGTAAAAGGGCCGTCAGAACCAGAATCAGAGTGTGGCACTTCCAGTTGAATGACGCTGGAAGAGGTAATGTGGGATTTGGATTTGCAATGCATGACATTTACTGGCTTTGGTCTTTCGACTTTTATATAGTGGTGTATAACTGTAGGAATATCGCCGTGACAGCATTCACAATAACTCATTCGACCTGCACAGTCTTGGCTTCATATACACTGTACTAGTCCAGTGCCTATTATCGTACAGGTAGAGATCGGCTATACTATCGTACAGGTAGAGATCGGCTATACTATCGTACAGGTAGAGATCGGCTATACTAAGGTTGACGGCAGTATGTCGCTTAAAATGTTAGTAGCTGCACTGTACAACAGTGTAACAAGCGGCTACATTTGTTGCAACTCTGGAGTTCCATGCTCAGTACCGCAATCATCAAGCAATGGTTGCCCGATGTCAGTGATGATTGCGGTACTGAGCATGAATAGCCGTGTTGTTCTGTTGCACTCTGTAGTCCGCTCTGCCTCATCCGCGGCATTGGAGCACCCTGGGTGCATCTTCCAGCAAAAACTACCTTTCTACTCAAATAATTAGAGAGGTAGTGAGGAAACCTTATAGTACGTACGTGTACTGTAAATTGAGAAACTTTCGCTAGAGATTAAATTTCGCTATTTTCGCGACCACCACACATTCGCGGATATAATTCGCTGCGAACCTCTCCGTACATTGATTGTAGACAGTGCAATATCCGACTGAAGAGATAGAATCGCAAACGTTTCTCATCGTGAATCAGCTCAATCTATGAAAACGCTAAAATTAATGTGCCAAGTGTTTCACTATACATATTGCACTGCTTCCCCAAGAAGCTCATCGCTGATTGTAACATCAAAGTCCATGTTGGAAATGTCTGCCATCTTTGGTCTTTGCAAAGGGGAGACCGGCTCCATTGTGGAAGTTCTGTTTTTCTTTTCTTTTTTGCCTTCCTTGCCACATGTACCTACAGTACCAGATCTACACGTATATTGAAAGATTAGCCCTGTGTCGTTAAAGACGATATCTTGTTCATTTCCCCAGGCGCGCTAGGCAATATGGTCAATTTCTCTCTAAAAAATATTTTATATTAATTTTGTGGACGACCCTGTAGCGCTTTTGGATGTTAGCGTTTTCTTTTCTCACTCGGCTTCGAGCTTCATCACGGAGAGTATGGTAGATCTGTTTTCTCTTGCAAGTGTCTGGTCTTGGCTTCATCATTCATGTATGCATGCCGTACACCTGCTTGCCCCCCCCCTTCATCAAGTAACGGTAGTTCACCAGGTTCACTACTACCACTAGCAAGAGTACATAACCCCCCTCTTGCTAGTACTAGTAGTACAGTACAGTAGTAGTTGTCAAGCAGCTGCTTGACCCCCCCCCCCCCCCCCCTCCTCCATGCATCACCGTAGATCTACGGCGTGTACGTGACAAGGGGTACTAGTACCGCGTACCGCGTACCGGGTATGCATGGTACGCACGTCATTGAAAAGGAAGTCGTCAAAATAATTAATTATTTTGACGACTTCCACATGCCAGTGATGCCACATGCACGTCAGATGAGTCATGGCATAAATATTTTGTCTGATTGTATTTTGCTCAAGATCACTCTTCATTTGAAATTCCCTCTGAGACTCTCTCTTTCTTGCACTAGTTCAAGTGAACCTATTAATTTTATATATTCGCTGCGTTTGGCACTTGGTCTGCGTGTCTAGAAGACAACATCATCCACAGCTGCGAGAATGCTTTCTACGTCGAAGGTAATTACTCTGCTGTCAACAACTATCACAGTTTTGGCTCTGGTTTAGGCCTACTCCAATTTGATGTAATCTCTGCACCATCTCCAGTTACCCTGGCGATCAGTTTCCTTCTTTGGATGCCGAAGTTTGTCAGCTATCGCAGACGTCCAGGTAATGCCACGTTGCACAGCTGTTCTTTCCTTGGAAGCAATGAGTACAATCGATCACGTACATGTACGCCATTGCCCATTGGAGCTATGACAGTATACATACAAGTGGAATCCTGACAATTCGAACCCAAACTGCCGGGCGAAAACTTCTAATTATCTAGACATTGTAATTATCCAAACATCTACCCACAACACAATATAGACAGGTGTCTAAGATCCGCAGGCTGCGTATAGTGCTCTATTCCAGCGGACAGGGCCAGTAATACAATTCACCGACAGCAACAGTGCAACCAGGTCTTCCCTGCCATTACTCGGAGTTTCATGTCTGAAAAACCCCCGATGAGTGTTTTCAGACACGAAACTCAGAGTAACGTCGAGGAAGGACCTGGTTGCACTGTTGCTGTTCATGAATTGCACACCACAATATATTGGCTGCTAGTGCTCGCAGTGTCACACAGAGTTGCAACATGCGCTGTAGACACAGGTTTTCCGCACTGTAAACTGGCCGATCCCAGCCAGCATGTGCACACTGAACTGATCAGTACAGTGTTCAGTGAACTTGGTATTACGTTTTGCAAACTTTGAACTATCAGTAGGTATGACTATCCCACACACTTTCTATGTAAGCGGGCTCCGTGGCACTTCTAATTAGGTGTGCATTCCTATTTCAATGTTTGAATGATCAGACATTCTGTGGGAATCACATTGGCTGAAATTGGTCGAATTATCAAGATGCCACCTGTACAGTAGAGTGGCATGTCGAAGAACATGGAACCCAAAAACACGCATGGAATACTGTAAAAGCCATTATTCTAACGAGGCGCATATATAACGATTTCCCAAAATTGACTAGTTTACGTGTACCGAAGGTAACGATTCTCACTCATTCTCAACGCTCAATAGTACAGTATATGTATCGACAAGAGTACATAAACCAGAGTGTGCAACTCGGGATGGTTCCTGTGGGAGCGTAATTCGTGCAGTACGTCATTTCTGACGGCATGGTAAGCCACAGCTACGGTGAAAAGTTGCGTAACCAGTCGCGGTGGTGCAGGTCACTGAGTTTGCCCTGATTTCGGTTTTTTGATACGGATAGCCTGGTGACTTTACTTGTCGGTGGATGTACAAGTAAAGTCGTACACAATCCCACAAAACACCGAAATCCTGAAACAGGACGTCTAAAATCAAGCAAACTTGGCTGATTTCCGGGCTATGAAACATGAAAATTTGAACTGTACGCAAGTCACGGCTTGGCTGACCTCATCAGGGTGACGTAGTGCACGAACTGCGCTGTTTCAGATCTGATATGCACAGTTGCACACTCTGGTTTATGTACTCTTGGAATCGATTTCTGTATAACGATTTCTATTTTAGCGACAGAT